CAGTACCGCATGGTGAGGCTTTCCTCAAGCTGCAGCAGAAAATATCAGCAGGGTTTGGCTGAAGCCATTGGAAAACAGATATTCTCCATTTCCCTTGCCAGAGCAATGAATAATGCACTTGCCCAGTAAAGCACAGTGGAATTGCAGGTGAAACCTGCTCCAAAAATGCTGCCAGTTAGGAACGTTTTTTTTCCTAATGTCATTGTATAATTGTATTCATTTATTTTTTCTGCCAGCACAAAAACATCTGTGAGTTCCCATCGCAGGAGTTCTATGACCATCGCCTGAAGACGTGTCCCCAGCTTCTTCGCAAACTCAGCGTCCTTTACCACAAGAATAACCGCTGCTGCCCCATCATCTTTGGGCACGTGGAGGGGAAGGAGCAGAGCCTCGTGATTTCCACTGAGGAAGGAAATGAGAACTCCAAAGCTAACCCAGAGGAAGTGGAGCAGGCGGTGAGCAGGGCCCTAGGGTTATGAATGGGAGGATGCCGGGCTGGGAGGGATTGTGAATGGTGAATTTTGAGATCGGATGGCCATCGGTGGGGTGGGTGCAGGTCCTGCTCGTGTCTGCAGCGTGCCATGCTGCTCCTGGCCACAGTCAGAGGTAGGGAAATGAGACCCAGAGGTGAGCAGCACAGCTGGGCGCCGTCGCTGCCTTGGGGACGTGCTGGAGGTCTGCTGGAGGTTCCCAGGTGAGCAGAATCATGGTGTCTCCAGGTGAAGATTGCGAAGCAGCTGACACTAGATGGCACCATCCGGCCGGAGAGCATCGCCATCCTCAGCCCTTACAACGCCCAGGTGTCCGAGATCAACAAGCGCCTGCTGAAAGAAGGCATCTGCGGCGTCACTGTCTGCACCATCATGAAGAGCCAAGGTGGGGCTGGAGGGAAGGCACTGCTCCCCTCTCCTGAGGGCTGGAGCAACTTCTCACCGAGACAAATCCTACAGCAGAGTAATTGCAGCCGTGCATGGAGCCAGTTTCTGGGTGTTTTGTGATGGTGATAAATCACAGCGCCCAAAGTGGGATGAGACTGATGGGAGGGGGAGGCTCAATGGAGAGGACATCTTGAAAGGGTTATTAAGATCAATGAGCAGGAGTTGGGGGGCCTCCAGAGCTGGAGAAAACCACTTGGCGCTTGCAGGTTGTGGGTCTTGTGTAGTGTGGAGTGGCCGGACGCTTCCACCTAAAATACGTGGTTCATTTGTGCTTTCTAGGAAGTGAATGGAGATACGTGATCCTGACAACCGTACGCTCCTGCTCTCGACACGAGATCGACAGGAAGCCCACCAAGAGCTGGCAGAAGAAATACCTGGGTTTTGTCACTGACCCAAACCAGGTCAACGTCGGCATCACCCGTGCTCAGGAAGGACTCTGCATTCTAGGTGGGTGAGCTGGGAGTGTGCACAGCCTGCAGGGGAGCAGCACAATTTGCAGGAAGGGGTGGAGGTCCGCATTAGTAAAAAGTGGCTGTCTTGCTTCACTCCTCTGCCCTTTGGGCTCTCTGTGATTTTGAAACTGGGCTATATGGGCCGCTTGAGCAAAGCAGAGATTGTGTGTGTGGCTCATGTGCAGCGTGTATAGTTCATTTCTGTCTGTTTCGGACCACACTGTTTCCATCACTTTGCATCCTAGTCCTCTCTTCTAACAGAATTTACTTCTTAGTTTCCCAGTAATTGTGCAGACGTAGGCTGTGATGCATAAGGAAACTGCTTGCAAATGTGGCAAAACTATAAAGGGAGCTGTGGTTTCACAGAGCTCTGGCAGACGGGAACATCCCCAGAGTTACCCAGCACTGCTAGCAATGTTAAACAGAGATGATGATTCTCTGTGAGCCTCTTTTGACCACTGCCTCCCTTCCTGTGCCAACAGGGAACCGGTACCTCCTAGAGTGCAACCCTTTGTGGAGGAGACTGCTCCAGCACTACGTAAGTCATAACTGCTATACAACAGGCCAAGGGATTTGTGTCAGGAAGAGTTCACCCTTCCACCGGTGAAGAGGAGAGATGCCAGGCCCAGCTCGTCCCTCTTCACCTGAACTGTGCTACGTGTGCCTTGAGAAGGACACAATCTTTCCATTATTTGTACGTGAACCACGGGTCAAACGCACTGGGAAAAGTTGGGATCTCTCCCTGCATGCTGACAGCTCAGTCTCCATATGTGCACTGGTGACTTGTTTTTTATATCACTGCAACCTTGTATAGGAACTTTCACCTCTAGCAAACCAAAAAGCATTGGAAGTGGGTGGATGGGCGTATGTGACTTTGTTGATGATTATTTTCAACTGGAAGATGCTCAGTGCAGCCACCATCCTATCTGTTAGTGCAGCTTTGGGGACCAAATACATGTTCCATTTGTCGGAGGTGGAATGACTGCATGTGGCAGATCCACACGGCAAGCTGTGATTTGCCCTATGGGACCAAATCTTCTGAGTAGCACCACTCATCTTAAAATCAAGGCCAGGGAATTTTTTAGGCTTTTTATTTCTCAAAGCAGGAAAATAATCTTTTGTTGGCTTGTTTTTGTTCTCAAGAGAAGGAGGAAAGCAAAAAGGGAACCGCGTTCCATGCTGTCTAGCCAAAGTGCTATTCTCCAAGCTTGTAAATATCACTGACCCAAGGCTAAGCTGGTTTTGTAAATAGATTTTAGTCTTTGTACAAAGGAGGCTGTCCTCACCAATACACAGTCAGTGGAAACTGAGGACTGCTCCTACGAGGGAATGTTGGAGTTTGTAAAGATATTTTAAACTGTTCTGAGTTTTATTTGAAATCTCCTCCTGTAAGATTGCCCTCCCTCTCCTCCCTTCCCTCCCCCCCATATTTTTTTAAAGCTGCTCCTAATTTATTAATGCTTAAATCTGTGAATTTGTTTCACAGTCTATGGCCTGAGGTTTTTCTATGAGCGGTGATAACTTGGTGAGCTCATCACACAACATGTATGTCTATAGTGTATGTTTTTATTTAAAGCAGCCAAACTGCTGTGGACTGGAAGCTGTGATTTGCTCAGGAAGGTTGCTTTGCACAGGAACCCATGGCTGAGAGGGATGCACTGTGGGGAATTGATGCTCTCGACTGGATTGTGGAGCTGTTCATAGAAGCACGAGGGTTTTGAAGGAGAATTCCTTCATTTCATTGCAGTTCTGAATGTATGAAGTGCCTGCTTCAGCTGTCCCTGAAACCACATGGCTGACTCTGGCTGTTCACATAGGATGGGGCCAAGATGCAGTCACAGCACTTCTGCACTGCATGCACAGATATGTATTGCGCTGGGACATCCCTGGCATAAAAGAACTTCACAGCACTGTGGCAGAGATGAGTTTTGTCCTGTGATTGCAGCAGAAAGTGTAGCGTGGCTCTTCCCAGTGTGAAGGAATGTGCAATAAGAAAGCACTGTGTCTGACAAAGCCCTTAATGCTGTGTTACTGCGTTCTGACTCCGTTAGGCTTGAGAACCTATGGAGCAGTTCTGTTCCTCCCTTGTTTTAAGCTGCCTTCCTGCACTTCTGGGTTCGATTTGTACATCCATATTCTTGTGAAAACTGACAGATGGTTGCAGTTCTCCATGGTCCAACAGCCTTTGGGAAGTATTCCTGCTGGTTCTAAAGGTGGTAAAACCTGATGTCCTTTGTTCCTCCTCGAAGCCATTCCACCCTGGATCTTAACAGTTCCACACCAGTCTGCTTTTGCAAATATTACTGCAATCCCAAAACGAGCTTGTATAGGAATAATTTTGTATAGAAACAATCTTGTGGGTGACTGAAATGCAGTCATCTGTCTCAGCGATGACTGCAGGATGGAGAACTGCAGAAGGTGCAGCACGAAGAGCCAACCCAGGCTGCTGGGTGCTTGTGCTGTGATCAGGTACCTCTGGAGTGGGTTGTGTAGCTGCAATAGTCAGGGCTAGCAGGAAGTGCAATTAACCAAACTTTTAATAGACTGTTAGTGCCAGCTGAATGCCATGTTCTCGTCCTTGTGCTCATGAACAGAGAGAATCATAGGAATCAATACAGAAAACAAGCTCAAAATGGTCAGATTTCATTCAAGAGTTTTTAATTTACTTTTGAAAGCCTGCTGGGGTGGCTGTGTCAGCCCAGGGGCTCGGGCTGACCTAAGTCAGACAGTTAATTTACTGCAATAAATTGTTGTTTTTAATAGAGATGAAATGTTAAGTGGCATAAAGCATTAAGGAACTTTAAATATGGCAGGTTTTTATTTTTTTGTATGTCTGTGACTTGCAACAGACCTCAGATGACTCTTTGGATACAAATATTTGTACCTGCTTCTAACGTTTGTAAAAATGAACCTCGACATTCCCTTTTTTTTTTTTAGTATTTAAGCCATAATTGTTAAAGTGATTCGAATTTATTTAAGTAATAAACTTTATTACTAAAAGTCCTGTTTCCGTGGCAGTTCAATTAGAAGCTGTGTGGAGAGGGCTGTGTTTCCAATTAACCAAATGGTGCAAAAGAAAAGTAGCACTGAGGGTGATGCGCGGCGGAAAAACTGCCTTCTAAATGTTGGCCTTCTGGGTATGTTACCCTTTCCTGTTCTGATTAATTTCCTTGCACTGCAAGGGGTGAGCATGAAATCATGATCTCTGGGCACCCCGTACCTTCTAAGCACCGAATCATGACTTCAACACGTGCATGAAGTAAGCAGTGGGCATCTTTTGGTGAACGGAAAGCACTGGGAGGCAGAGATGTTTCTCTTCCTGCACTTTGCATCCCTGGTACCCTGCAGGACTGTGGGAGGCTCTGAGTCCTGCATGCTGTATAAGGATGTTATTTGTTCAGAGAAATTGGGGATTGGTTGCTGTTAACATGGATGAACTTGTGGGAGGCACCTGCTGTCGCAAACAGAGCAAATTTGAGGGGGAGGGGGGGGAAACACAGCTTAACAAAATGCTCAAATGCTACAATTTTTTCTTTATTCTTCTTGTCCACTTTTTTTCAAATGGAAAATATGAGAAAACATTCTTGTCAGTCACCTCATCCTTTGGTTCTCAGGTGCTTTTGTCTTCAGCTGTGTTAGCTTTTGTCGTCAGTGTGATGGTGTCATGCCACAGTTCATAGACAAGCGTGTACACTTCTGCTCTTCTGATCATGAATTCGTATGACCGGTCAGGCAGCAGGCCCTGCACTACACAAGTGTTGGTGGTGCGTGTCACAAGCCCACAGTGTCCAAATTCTGCCTGAGTTCCACGCTTCAGCAACTTAAAATGCAGTTCATATTGTTCATGGGATGACTCTTGATTTTCAATAGACCATTTGAGGTGGGCCCAGTTCTTGTGTGCATACGATTCGTTTCGATCAAACAGAACTGGCATCTTTGCACAGAGAAAAAGCCTAATGTCTGGTATTTTGTTACCCCTAATATCTGCACATGACACCAAACGGTGCTTGGTGTAGAGTCTTCTTGATACTTGCACAGAATTGAAATTGTTCATTACTTCGGAGAGGTCTGACATTCTCTGCTTAATTGAGTCCCACTTGGAGAGGAAAGTTACCATGTCACAGGTCTCCACATAGCAGACCAGCTCCTCCCGACCTTGTTGCAGCTCTTCTAACAGGTAGGTTAAAAGCTGCAGGTGGATTTCAGTCTGGGATCTTCCCATTTTCTTCACTCTCTGGAATTTCCAGGGGTCAATGACTTGGAAGATGCTGGTAGGAAACGCCAAGAGATTCTGATCTCTCAGGATCAAAAACGTGGGCAGAACCTCAATGTAATAGCAACACTTCTTGAGAAGCTCCACTTTCTTCTGATGTGCCTCAAGGAGGTGGAGGCTCAGATCAGCCTGCAGGTACTGCCGTACAAGGCTGCTTCTCTCTGTGTACCTCCTGCAGATGGCATTGCCTTGTTCCTTTGTGCTGTCTACAGTATTCTCTGAATTGCTTTCCAATTCATTCAAATTCACATTCATGATTCCAAAATTTGCTGTTTAAAAAAAAAAAAAAAAAAAAAAAAAAGTAGCTTAATGAAATTAAGAACCAAAGAAAAAGCAGCTGCGAAGGAAATCATGGCTGTGACTTTTCTCTCTCAATTTAAGCTTATCTCACAAATTCATAGATGAGAAAGAACTGTTAAACCAGATGCATTTTAACAGTTTTCCTTTCTAGCTGTATGATTTCTAATATTTTGTACAGTCTACTTTCATGCATTTCGATCAGCTGCTCTCCTGTTAGCCCCCTGGACTGGTCACGCTCTGTTTAACAGATTCACTGCCAGAATTATTCTCTGATATGCTCTGCCAAAATTTCTCCCTTATTTGCTCTTTCATTCTAATTAGACACCTTCGTGCTCCCGTACACAATTTCTCTCCAGTCTTTAACTCTCTGGAGACGTCTGTTTCTCTCCCTTTTGTAATCAGACCGGCCTCTTTACCCATGCAGTGCAACTTTCTGGTCATAGTACCCAACTGTGACGTTCTAATGCCTTGAAGCTAGGTGGTGGTATCCAGTTGACAAAGAAGTTTCTCTTGGCCTGGCTTTCCCTAAATAGATAAAGGAAGTGATAGCACTTCCTTCTTGGAGTTTCAGGAGCTGCTAAACCTGCCAGAAGTCTGGCCTCCCTGCAATTTACACTGTTTCACTCATTCACACGAAATCTTTTTTCCAAGAAAGCTGTCAACTTAAGAAAAAAAACAAACCGTATTTCCTTTTTACTTTCTCTCCCCAGAAAAATACCCTAAAACCAAAACAGCGACGGTTCTTGGCAGCCCGGTACGAAGCGGAACAGGGACAGCAAGCACAACAGGTTACACCAGCGCTTCCAGAGCAATTTGGCTGTCTGGAGTGGTTTGTTTGCCCACAGACAGAGATGTGATTGTGGTTGTTTTCCTTTCTGTTTTTACATCCCTTTTTTCTTGCCAGAAACGGCTGCTTTTCAGCAGCACTGCTGGGTTTGGAATAGCAGCGCTGCTAGGTTGGGAACAGCAGAGCGCGGTGCTGCATGGCGCTGGAGAGGGGCTGGCTGTAGGAAATGGGTACCAGAGGAAGCTGGACCGCCCTGACCCACCTTGCCCAACCTTGGGAAGCCCTCCTTCCCCCTGGCCAGCCAGGGAGCCCCGTCCCACTTCTGCAGCCGCCTTGTGGCCTGGCTGGCTGCAAGCCGCAAGCCTCAGCCGTTGTCATGGCAGCGCATTGTGCTGTATGAGGGCTGAGGCCCGCGGCTGGGGCTGGGTGTCTGTCCCTGGTCAACCAGCGAGGTGTGCGTGCGTGCTGTATGCTCAGACTGCCGTCCTGAGCTGGGTGCTGGCCGTCCTGGCGCTGAGGGACTGGCTTTTGCCTGCTTCACAGGCGGCCTCTGTCCTCAACGCGGCCAAGAGCTGCGCCGAGGAGCGCTGGGCTGCCAGTGTGGATTCCTGGAGAGCGCCGGAGGGATGAGCGGCAGCGCGAGGAGCTCCCTCCTCCTCCACAACAAGCCTGTTTTGTTGCACCTCCCATTTTGTGTCCTTGCTGTGGGCTATGGGAGCACTAAGCTGATGCTCCCCCGGAGTCCGTGGTTTGTGCTTATTGCAATATCCAAAAGACAATTTCCAAAGCTTTGATTCCCCTTGTAAGCCATTCTCACTGCTCCTCCAGCGTGCTTCCTCTCTGCTGGATGGAGCTGGCAGCGGCTTTAGTGCTTTGCCACCCCTACCTCCAAGTCCAAAGAGCCTGACGGAGCCGCCTCGCTGCGGGCCGCTTTAAAGCTTTGTTTGCTGCACAGAGCCCGGATCTCAGCAGCAAAGCACGGTGACCTTGCAGACAGAGATGAAACAGCTACTGCAGGTCAGCCTTGTCTGTGCAGCACCCTCAGCTCTGAGCAGAAAAGCTGGTTCCATCTTGGGCAGCCCTGAGCTGTCTCTCTGCACCCTGGGAAGTGACTGCTCCATTAAGTGAAGCGAGCTTCCATTTGGGTAGGAAGGGATTTTCCTGTTCTGCTGTGCTGAGGGACTGCTCTGTTTTATTGCAGAGGAGAGGCAGGCTCGTCTGGTTCACAGCAATAAGCTCTGCACCACAACCGGTGCTGCCATCAGCAAGCTGGACAGACCTTCTGGGTCTGAAGGTGCTTTCATAGTCCCTGCGATTAAGTCTTTGGGTTGGGGCTTAGCCTCAATGCTGTCTTGGATGCTTAGCTGGTGCATCTTTGCTAAGCTTTTTTAATTGAATGATAGCCAAGATCCATAACACTGTCCCTGAGCTTCTGCTTGAGCATCAAGCAAGGAGGTGATCTGTCATTTTAAGAAATCAATGCATCTTCTCCTGGCAGCCTGAGCTTACTGTTTCATTTCACAGCTGCCAAGAGATTAACTATACAATTGTCAGGTGTGATTCTGTAACAGATGAGGAAGATAACAAATACAAGTGAAAGAAGGCTGCTATCCTTGCTTGAGGGAGGTTAACAGAGATCACTATTTGGTAATAAGCATGCCAGGTTCCTGCAAGAAATAAATGTGCTGAGATGTTCGTGTCATAGACCCCAAACCTGTCACTTAGGCAAAGCGTGTTGGGAACTGGAGCCATCCTCGTGTTCTGGGCTTTTAAAACAGCAGAGGTGGAGTCCTTGGCTCAGCCAGCGTGACTCTTCATTTTGGTAAGGGTAGGATGCCATCTGAACATTTTCCATGAGCGTGGTACGATGTGAGATTGAAAGCGGATTTGTTGCTGAGACTTCTGCACTGAGCTTGCTTGTGATTCTCACCATCATAAGTGAGAATCTTCATCCCAAATTAGAATGGAGAAATGAAATTCCTTTGGTTACCCCTGTCCTAAACAGCTGGCCAAGTTTCTGTCTCGATTTTAGGAACACGAGCATAAACCTGCTTGCAGTCTCCAATATTTTCAGTATTTTTACATCAGAGATCAATTCAACTGTAGGATTTTGTACAGCTCCCCGAGGTTTCTCTGAATTAATACAAAACGTGTTTGAAGCCATCAAACTTCATATACTCCTCTCCCTCCCCTCTCATCAGCTGAGCTACCACTGCTGAGAAGCTGACAGCTGCTGTTTACCATTTGTCATTCTGCCCTGTCCTCCTGACCACGGCATCGAAGTAGAGAACTTGTTAGTCTTTAAGATCAAGATATAAGCAGACAATTGATTTTCCTCCCTCTTCTCATTAGCGAGTTCTGACACTTAATAAAACATGTATTTCCACTCTCGGAGCAAACAAAACACCCAGACAGTGCTTGTCAGAGGGACCTGGAAGCTGGAATTCATCTTTATGGAAAATCAATAGCTGGAACAGAGAAATTGGCAGAATCCAAATTAAAAGTCGCTGGCAATTTCTGTCTTCATATTTCACATCTATTGCATTATGAAATAGCAATCTGCTGCAAAGAGGAGCAGGGAAGGTGATGGACTTTGTCACTGGCAAGTGCGTGGTTCTTCCTCTTTGCGCAGGGGTGGTCAGATCTCCTGGGTGAAGGTGGGGGCCCAGGGGCTGCTGGCAGCAGACGCAGCTTTGGAGCAGCTCTTGGGGCAGCACCAGCTGCAGCGTGGCCCTGGGGACAGAGCTCTGCTCCTGCTCTGCCACTTTCCTGCATCCATTGCTGGCAGCACTGATGGAAGGATTCCCAATGTCACCACCTCCTCCAGGGCTCCTGGCTGTGTCCCTGTATCCCTTGACCATACCTATATCTCATATCTGGCTGACCCCACGGGAGCTGCCTGTCTGCACTGGGCTTCTTCAGCTCCCCGGATCTCAGGGTGTGATTGATTTACTCACTGCTTGCTCCCAGTTTCACTAGTGCCTCATACACCTGAAATAAATTACATGTTCCAGATAGATTATATCCCCAAATCTAAACCACACACCAGTGAACTCAATTTGCTCATCAGGATGTGATTCAGAGGGCTCACTTGGAAAAGGAAGAGGGAGGTAAATTTTCTAAGGGACCCAGTGGGAGAATGGCTTTTCTGAGATGAAGAGCTCCAGCTGGATCGGGCCAGGAAGGAGTTAATTGCAATTAAGCAGCAATTATCTCTAACTCATTGCACCTACTAATAATGCTCTGGGAGGAGGCTATGGGGTATGAGCTCAACCAGGAGATCTGCAACAGGCAGGGCTGAGTGCCTGGGACTGCATCAGGTAGGAAGCCTTTGTCTGTCACCTCTGGTTTCTTCACCTATTGGTGGCTGGGCAGCTCTTGGCACTAAGAGGAGTCCCAGGGCCACAGACCCTCCTCTCCTCAGTGGTGATATTGATGTAAGACCTCAGGTGCTTCGGTGGGTGTGAGAGATCCTCTGAGCTGCAGGCTGCAGTGGAGGTGGGTTTGCAGCTGATGCATCTCAGGAAGATGGAGTGGGGTTGTAGGAGCTCCAGTTATCTGACTGGAAGCTCATCAAAAGCCCATTCAGGTATCCTTGTACCGTGCTGCGCCTTGTGAAACAGATGTCCTTGAGCACAAGCTGAAGGCAGGCTGTCGTGTCCCAGATCCCACAAGCTGGCTGTTAGCAGGCTTATGCAAGCAGAGAAGCATGCGTGCCCCCTTTTTCCATGAAAACCTCCTAAAGAGGTCACGCATGCTCGGATGCAGAACAGGGAGCAAGGACTGGCACAGAGCACAGCACCTTCTGCACCAGCAGACAGAACTGCAGCCTGTGCCCTGCTCATTATCACCTGCCCGAGGCTGGCACGTCAACCTGCACTGGGCACAGGGATGCAGAAGCATGTAGAGGTGCTCAGAGCACAGCTGTGTACCCGAGGCTCATCCACAGGGCTGGGGCAGACTGCAAAGCCCCGGCTTTGGCGGCAGGAGGGCGGAGGTGAAGTCAACTCATCCATCTCTGCTGCTCGCAGGCTGGTCCCCAGGGAAGCGCAGGCTTTGGCAGCTCTAAGTGGGGCTGGAGGCGGATGCAATTCTGGAGAACAAGATTCCCATGCAAAACCTTAAGAAAAAAAAATATATATACTAAAGTTCTTGGCTGAAAGGCTTGTTTAAAGATTTCATCTCTGGCAGAGGAAATAACGTCTTAATTCGTTCCCTTGCTGCTGCCTCCCAACGCATCTCTTTGCAAGTGCTCGGTTCCCAGAGGAACACAGGCCATTAGTTCTGCCAGGAAACAAGCTGGGGATGAGGGTCTTTTGTTAGAGGAGCTGATGCCCACCTGCACTGTGTGCAAAGCAGCAGGCAGGCACCCTGTGCAGCCCCACCAGTGTGTGTGCTTGGGTGGATGCTAGGCAAAAATACATCTGCTTTTCTGCCTTGGTTATCTTTCTTTTCTGAAGCAGTGGTTTTATTTTGGGGGGGTTTGGGTGATGCTTCTTGCCTGCCTCACTGCCCTGGGTATCACAGCATCCCTAGGGCTGTTGAGAGGGATTTCTGCAGGAGAAAGGATGGAGTGGCTGTGCTGGAGACTGTTACAATGCTGTGGGCAATGGGGCAGGGGCTATTTAATGAGTGACACCCCACAGCCATCCACAGTGGGGAGGCAGTGGCAGAGCACCAGAGCCGCCCCATCCCTGTGCCTGTGACCCACTGTTGTCCTCCTGCAGCAATATGGCATGGGCAGCAGAGCCCGTGCTCACCATCGTGCCCTCATGTCATTGTCACCACTTCCAGCATGAAGAGCCCTGTCTGAGTCATCCCCCAGCTAAACGCAGTGTGTGGGCTTGTGCAGCGTTAGGCTGCTCATCCTCTACTTGCTGCAGCCTGACACTGGGTAGAACAGCTATTCATCAGCTCAGGGATGAGGCGAGATGGATGTCCTGTGCTGCAGCGTGAGCTTCGTTCTCCTCCCACCCACGGGACCGGAGTGGTCCAGCATGGACGACTGAAGTGCGCGCTGCCTGGAAAGCTCGAGAGATCTTGAGAGAAATATGGACTTGTGCTTTGCACCGACTGACTTCATGCTCCTGTTCTACAAGTGCTGGAGCCTCTGTGGAGTGTAGGCTCTTGAAAATGTTTCCATCACGTGTGTCACGGCAGCTCTAGGGAGAGGGAGGACGCAATGGTGACGGCAGCATCTCACAGCTGCTGGTGTTTGGTCTTTCTGGTGGCCTTGGGGCTGTGGTGGCCATGGTGGCTGTTGATTGTCTCTTTGGTGCCTATCCTGCCCTGGCCCTGCTGCCTTTCTCCTGCCTACGGCTTTGCCATGTGCAGCTCTTGCAGGTGCACGTGCCTGGCTGATGAAGGGCCAGGAATTGTTGGGGTGTATTTTTTCAGCTCTCAAGTAACTGAAGTGTCTTTGTGGAGTTTAGCAGCCCTCTTTGCATATGAAATAGGTCTCCAGAGAGCAAATCCAGAGTGAAATGTTTCTCCTTGTGACTGACACCAAGCTCTTTCTGCTAACGATGTTTAAAAGCTTTTTGCCTGTCGGCTGCATGGTCACCTGTTCCTGCACCTTCACTGTGCAGTGTGGTGGCACACGTGCCAGCTGACCTGGCTTCCCCGAGCTCCATCACCACATCTGCAGGAACCAAGCTAACAACACTGTGTTGTTGAGGGCATTGGAGCACAGCTTGCCATGGGGGCAGCTACCTCTCCAGAAGCAAAGCATGTTTTGCCATCCCCCCCCCAACCAGTGTAGCTTAAAACTGGGAAATTCCAGCAGCATTTTCTGCTGCAAACCCTTCTGCTGATCCAAGGAGGCTGGGGAGCACCAAGGGACCAATGGTCCATCCATGCATGGGCTCTGCTGGTGGGAAATGGGCTGACACCTCCCTGTGCGAGGGGGCAGCTGCACTGGCAATTGTCTTGTTACACAGATAGGGGTCTGGTTTTGACAAACCGTTCTAGGAAATATAAGAAAGCAGGACTTCTTGAGGGCTGCACTCTGGAAAGCAGCTGCTACAGCTGTGCCCTGGAAGGACTTGTGTTCCTGGTACAGAAGAGCTGGGCTTTGCTGGGTGTGTGCTTTCACATAAGCTGATGATCCACTTGTGCTGTAGGTGTTACCACTGCTTGCAGCCAGCCCAGAGTTCCTGCAGCTCCTTCAGCCTCTTCCCCCCCTGCAGGAAGGTTGCTCCAAGGTGGGACTGGGGCTCTGAACACCAGGGCTGCCCTCACTGTGTGTCACCCACAGATTATGCCCTTCAGCCCCAAGGTTCCCCACCTGGTGCCTGGAGCTCCTGGAAGGCATGCAGCTTGCTCCCAGCACTTGCCTGTTAACACTGTGGCAGCTGGGGCCAGCCAGCCCCATGGGGCTGGAAGCATCTGCTTTGGGTGTCTGTTGGCAGCAATTATGCAGCACAGCAGTGATGGCTGGGCAAGGGGAGCTGTCACACAAGGGCACAGCTTGGCCTCGTGTCCCTTTGCCTGCTCAGGGGTGGCCTCATGTCCTTGGCACTCAGGACATCACTGGCTGCCTTTCCCTGCACGAAGGAGGGTTTCTTGTTGTCACAGCTCATCTTCTCTGAGCTCTTCCTATTGTGGATGCCAATGGTGGCACGGGGGCTCCAGATGCTGTGAAGGGTGAGCTTTGGCTTGTGGATTTAGAGCATCTGTGCAAGGACAGGCAGTGTTTGGTAGCTACTGAAGTATCAGCTCTGTGGGGTATTTTCCTTGGTGGTGGCAGGTGGGGCTGCTCATTCTTTTTGGCTCTCCAGGTCCAACCGTGGTGGATGTAACCCCCTCTAATTGTGTGGGGAGTCCTGCCCATACAAACGTGTTGCCAACAGCACAGCTGGGAACAAATGCACGATGAACTCTATTTCAAATGGTGTGGCTTTTCAACCCCATCAAACAACTTTATTCACACAAACGTCTCTTAATTTACAAAGCCTCTGCCACTCATACACATCAGGGTATCCACAGTGTTCAAAACTTAAATAGAACGTCTCATACCAACCCGAGTAAACCAAGTACAAAAAAAATATTTATATAAAGTTGTTCACACATAGGTCCTAGATCACCAGCTTCTGTGCAAGGAAAAAAAAGAAAGGGAAGTAATACAGATTCATTTACTAATATTATTAACTTTACTTTGGAGTCTGGGTTTAAGCCTTCTGCCCTCCGGGGGGAGGGGTGTCCCCATGCCCCACAGGTGGGACGTGGCATTGTCACACTGCAGCATGGAGCAAGCAGCTCATGTTCCTCCCATGGCAATCAGCAGGCTTAAACCCAGCCTTGGTACTGCATACAGAGGAGACGTACGACGCACACAACGGAGGATTTCCACAACGATGGTAAATGCTTGTTTAAAATCTTATTGCTCCAGAAAGGCTCTGGGAGCCTCTGATATGTGAAGGAGCTGGGTCCTGAGGAGTAAAGGAAGACCACGAGGGTAACTCTTATCTGTCACTAGCACCGTTAAGCCTCAAACACAGCAGCACAGGGGAGCTCACCTAACCCCTCTGCTCTCCTCTCCACAGACCGACGCTGCCTGCAGAGCTGCCTGCACACCCACATGGTGCTGACAGCCAGCCCTGCTGCAGGCTGGTGCAGATAACGTGTTCCCCAATCCTCCTGAGGCTTGGCTTGTTCCCCACCCCACCCCCCAACCCACCTCCCTCTTGTAAACAGCAGTCAGAAGTAAACAGTTTCATACAATCACCCCCAGCGCTGGGCTCAGCTTGGACCCCGCAAAGCCCAAAGGGTGGCGGGAGGGCACTGGATCCCCCCCATGACAGCAACCCCCTCCATACCTGGATGCTTTGCTCCAGCCAGGAGGATGGAGTTGCCCTGGTCCCAGCCTTGGAGTTGCTATCCTAAGCTTGAACATTCCCAGCAATGCAGCTCAATGCCAAAAACTCCCTCCGCAGGGTTCAGCCCGCAGAAGATGCTCGACAGTTCCAGGTGGGCAGAGACACCCGATGCTGCCACCTCACTCCACAGAACAAGTTTGGTCTGGGCTAAAGCAATTGGAGGAGAGGTGCTAGGAGCTATAAACACAAGGCAGCTTCATCCAGGAATCGAGCTCAAACAGCAGCAAAATCATCAGGGAGAAATGCTTTGAAAAGGGCAAATTAACAGGGAAACATCCATGTTGGCCAAAGGCTAGCAGCCTAGGGCTTGTCCTCTGAAGTGTTTGCTAACTCCTAAGTAAGGCACTACGGTCTAGCTCGCTAACATCAAGCTGCTTTACAAACACATCTGAAATGCAAAAGCTGAGGTGAAAACGTGTGGTTTGAAGATGGCCTGAACCTGCAATGGGCCAGGAGGGGGTACTTTCCCCAGTGCTCACCTCCCACCTCCATGTCCTGCGTGGAGACCTCCTGCTGGAAAGCTGGCTTCTCCCAGCAAGGGACCCTTCCAGAAGAGTAAACCATGAGCAGGATGGGGGGGTATAGCCTTCTGCATGCACCAGTTCATGCCAGGGACAGTCAATAAGTAACAAAGGCTCTATCGGGTGGAGGAATGGAGGTTTGGAGTAGGGCACTAACACTGTACTGTGAACAAGAGAGATCAGTTCTCAGCTCACCATGGCCCTTGGGGCAATGCTAGGCATGAGTGGGGCCATCCAACTCTGCCCAGGGGAAGGGCAATGCCAACAGTTGGGGGGGGGCAGTGGGATCCAAGGGACCCCCTTCTGCCCGAGCCCTGGCGCTGTGGAGGCTGAACAGTGGCAGTGATGCTGCCCCCCAGACTGATGCTGACAGTGTCAGCTCAGCAGGGAGCATTTTAGCTTGTCCAGGCCCCAGAGGTTGGAAAAGAGGTGGTGCTGTACACTGCATTTCCAGTGAGCAATGTCTAAAGACAAGCAACATAGCCCCAGAGTTAGTGTTGCTACAATATAGGCAAAGAGACTGAGTGTTAACTGATCGGCCTGAGGTTCCAGTCTCCTTACCTGAGCTGCATTGACTGCAACCAAGCAACTACAACCAGCCTTTTACTTTATTGAGACAGTTACCTAGAAGGAAAAAGTGTTTTACAGCAGGCCAGAATCCAGCCCATGAGCCACTGAGGCCAAACCTCCTCTCCCAAGCACCGCTCCTCACAACTCAAGTTTGGCACCAAGTGGCTCATTGTAGTGGGTTGTTTTCAGTTTCTCGTGTACGCAGCTGAAATGTACCTACACACTCCCCATTAGCTCTGTGCCCCTAACAAACATCTCTATGACACCCAGATTAGGGAGACAAGGCTCTGAGGCTCTGCCCCCTGCAGGGCAGTGCTGACTCCCCACTGCCTTTCCAGCTTATGCTACTCTACCTAACAACAGCTGTTTCTAGTGCAGGCAGCATGCACCTACCCAGAAGCTGCCTGGCTGTGAAGACATTCTACTGCTTGCAACGCACACTCTGTAAGACTCACCTCTAAAGCAATGCACTCCAGATGCAAACCCATTTCCTAGGTGGAAACAATAGCTTTAAACCCCAACCCGTGCCTGGCTGGGCTCAGCAATCCTGTCTGGCAGCAAACCACAGCTGCCTATTAACTCTTGTAAAGTCCAACTGCAGAGCAGGGGGACATGGGGAGAGCTGGGCAGGGCAGCTCTGTGTTCTGGATCTCATTCAATAGTCTAGGTGAGCACGATAAGTGCCCAGCCTGTGCCCCTGCAGCTCCCCTGTGCCCCCCAAACACCGCTCACCAACAAAACAAACACCCAAACATTTCACATTGCCAGAGATCCTGAAGACCGAGGATCTTTTGTATTGTCACCTTCCCTTGTTGCACGTAATGGAGATGATGGGTCCCTGGTAAATAAACCTGCAGGAAAAACAAGAAAGGAGAAACAGAGATCAGATATGTGCATGGTTTTGTCCCAGTTACTGCAGTGAGACTTCCCTCCCCTTAGCCTCCTTTAATTAATTAACTTCATTATACTGCCTGTAGGACGTTACTTCTATCAGTTAGGAGATGCTGTGCACTGGAGGAAGATACAATCAATCACTGAATTGGGAATCGGGGAACTCTGCACATGCAGCAGGGATATTTAGGTTCACTATTAGGAAGTTGTTCTTTACAATAAGGGCAGTGAAGCAGTAGCACAGGCTGCCCAGAGGTGAGGTGGGTGCCCCATCCCTGCAGGCACTCAGGTCAGGCTGGGGGCTGTGGGCACTGATGGAGCTGTGTGGGTGCCCCTGTGCACTGCTTGGGGTTGGGGCAGATGGCCTTTAAGGGTCAATTCCAACTCAAACCATTCTACAACCCTTGTGGCTCCCTTCCATCTCAGGGTATTGTATGATTTTTTTAAGCAAATTTTAACTGAAGGAATGGGCTGCAAGGTAAAGCCTCAGCACTGCCTGTGATGGCACTGTCCTTGAGGACCTGTATGTGACTGAGCACAGAACACACCAGGACTTTGGGGTCACACTGAACCTCTCGTACTGTGCGTCAGCAGCAGCTCAGGCTCTTGAGTGCTCTGCAAGAGGCTGCTAAAATCCACTTGGATGCAGCCAAGAGCAGTGCCACACTCTGTGCAGCCCCTGAGGATGCTCAGAGCCTGGATTTTGGGGCAGGAGGGGCAACCCTGCACCGCACTCAGGGAAGGCAGAGCTCAGCTTTGCACAGAAGCTTTTTTCTCCTGGTTAAACAATGCACAAACCTTCAAACCTAGGGCAGCATGCTGCTTCATGACATACTTTTCCCCACAACTAACAGCAGTTGAATCTTCCCCCAAACTTCAGCTCTGAGAAACATAACATGGAGAAAATGGGGAATTTGGTTTTCCCTTCATGGTGCTGGGAGCACAGCCATGTCCCCCCAGCTCCACAGACAAACTGTGTCATAACCACTACCCAGCAAATGATTCAAATCCCTTAGGCCCAGGAAATCTCATTAAAGAAATCCACGCCTGCAGAATCTACTTTTAAAGGAAGAGGCCAGGGCTGCCTGCACTCAGCTGGGATCAGAGAGAAGCTGTTCTGTATCTTGTGGGAGGCACTGGGACACCAGGGCAGGAGCAACAGAGTGAAGAATTGTCCGTAAGATTCCCCCTGTGGTGCAGCTCCATCAGCAAGTAGGGCTGTGCTGCTGCTATTCACGCCTCCCCGGAGCAGGAGCAGTTCAAGGAAGATCCTGGTCTGACTGCTTCCAAGCTCGCTGCATTGACGCATGCTGTTTCTGGGCTTGTTCAAGAGCTTTTAATACCCCTGCTGACGCCACTTCCAGTTTTAATCAGCTCGAATGTTCGCTCAGCATCAGCAGAACATGAACCAGCAGCCCACAGCCCTCACGCAGCACTGATGAGGATGACACTAACGTGCAGCTTACGGCAGATGGAGATGAGAACGTGGTCCGCAGGGAAGCAGAGGGTCTCACCAAGGCATGAAGACATAAGCTGGCAGCTCCTTGTGCTCACATCATCCAGCCCTGCGTGGGGATGCAGGGTGCGAGGGAGGGGGCTGAGAGCCCACTGTACCCCCACATCCTTCCACAGACACACGTGCAGGGCTCCTTGGCAGCTCCCTTCAATCCAACCCCAGAGCCTTCCCTGAAGGGATGTGGGACTCACAGCAGCAAAGCCACGCGTTGCCAGAGGTGCAGCCACCCAGCCCTGCCCAGGGCTCTGCTCCTCTCCAGATGGATGTGACACTGCCTGAAGGGTGCCCTGCAGGGTGGCCCAGAGATGCTGCAGCTGCTGCCACAGCCAAGAGGAACTAACCATGCTGTTGTCATCCCACAGCTTGCTCTGTCCATGCCAGGACTGACAAACCATGCCCAACATTTCCCTGACACGCTGATGAGGTCCCTTCCTGCAGCATCAGGGCACTTTTACTGATGCCCTAACAGACACAACATACCCAGACACAGCAGCCTTCTCGCTGGCAGCTCACAGCCAGAGCCATTTCTGATGAGCACTGATCCCTGCCCTTCAGAGGTGGATTCCTACAGGTCAGCTGCTTACTGACAGCACTCAGGTGTCTGTGCAGATGTGCTCATCAGAGAGAGGTGCCACTGCACAGCTGAGCTTGCTCAGTATCAGCCCCGCTGCACTGATTCTATGATTTTGCAAATGAAACAGAACAAGGCAAATGCCAGCAGTTACTTTCAGCTGCCACCAGAAAGTGTCAGAACATGGGGCAAAGCTGAGAGCAGCACCTCTGCTCAGCCCAAATCACTCTGCATTCCCATTCCCACCTGCTATCCCAAAAATCCTGTTTTGCTACAAGGTATGACTTACAGAACAAGCTGCCTTCCACACTGAACAAAACCACTGCAGTTTGGCACCTTGCAGAAATTAAAAGTACACATTTTCTTACATGTTAAATTGTGGTGGTGGGCAATGCTGCCCTTTGTGATCCCTTTCTTTCTGTGACAAGATTAGTGAGCAGCACACAGACTCCCATTGTACCACACACCTCAACAACTTCCTGGGTGTGCTGTGTGGAGCCAGGTGTTGCATGATCTTCACGAGTCTTTTCCAATTCAGGACATTCTATGCATCTAAGGATCTACGAGCTTGGCTAATGAGTGCCCAGTGCATCCTGCACAAACACTGCCTGGGAAGGCAGCTATGAGAATGATGGGCATAGACAGTGACACCCACAAGGGGACCCACAAGGGGAAGAGGAGATGAGGGCAGAGCTGCAAGAAACCAACCCAGCAAGGAGGGGACTTGCACCTGTGTGTGAGCTCCAACTGCTGATGGGTGAATGGAGGTCCCTGGGGAGCAAGGCACAGCAAAACAACTCCAGATCCAGCTGCTTTTCAGTTTACAGAGCCTTGCTGTATCAGTAAGGAAGAGCGAAATACTGCTTTTGCTGCAGTCGGGGCTGGGCTGTCACATGGCAATCAGGAGACTATCAGCAGGTACTCAGCACAACCCAACCACTGATGTATAAGAAAGGCTTTCGACCCTTTGCCCAAAAAGGCACATCTGTGGGAACAGCAAACTCAGGTTTGGATAAACCAGTACTTCAGGAGATGAGGAAGCAACACTCAGAAAAGATGATGTTATCCCCAGGGAATGCCACCCACCTCTGCAGGACACGCTGCTGCCTTGGGGGGCAGGCAGTGATAAGCTCATCTAACCCAGGCTCAGCTGAAAGCAAGGCCAGAAGCACTGTGCTGGCTGGGAGCTGACACCAAATCCTTCTGTTTTGCAAGATAACAGAATAAGAGGCACAGTGAGCAGCAGGTCTGCGCAGCATCCGCAGCAGGACTGAAGGCAGAGCTGCTGGGATGCAAAGCATGATCAGAAGAGATAAAGGATGGAGGAAAATCTGATTTCCGAGATCAGGGTTACAGTTTTCCAGGTCACAATGTGGGCCAGGTCTGCACAGGGGCTGAGGCTGTTGGAAAGGGGAACCTCGCTGCCCAGCCCTGCACTGCACGCAATGCCCAAAGCAAGCAGGGAGAGGTTACTTCAGTTTCCCGGTCAACTTAAATTACCTGAGAGCAGAATTCAGGCCCTGCCCTAAATCTCATTTTAAGCTTCTCAAGCTTCCGATTTCAGCTTTGCATTAAATGAAAGCCCCACAGAGGTAGGCTGGTTTGAACATACGCACACACGATGCATTCAGAAGCCCTATAGGAAAAGCACCCAGACAATTCCACTGCCCTACAAAAGCACACAGGAGGAATGCTCCTGCTGCACAGTGCACGGCTGTGGGTTTGCAGGGAGCATACGGCCAGTGCCAGGCTCCTATCTGGGCCACGCTGCCTTATGTAAGCACAGCATCTCCACTGCAGCTGCGTCACCCCCAGACAATCAGTGGCAGCTCATGGCGGACGGATGGAGGGGGGGGCTGAGAAGGCAGCTGGGTTTTATGCAAACAGCCCCAGGGTAGGACTGTCCCCTCCATGTTTGTTATCCCTGCGTGTGCTATTCTGCAGATATGCACAGGATGAATTTTCCCCGGAGGGCACAGGCTGGTTGCATAACCCAGCAGCATCGTGTCAGCGGGCGAGTGATCGCAGATGGCAGCAGCAAAGCCTGACCCTCCCTGCACAGCCCCAGCTCTGAGCAGGCACATCCCTGCCCTGCTAAAAGCCTCATCCCTTGCCCCAGGGTGCAAGGTGGGGTGCCCTGCTCTGCACCCAGGACTTCTTCACGCCTGAAGCACTCGCATTGCTACAGGTCATGGCCCTGCTCTAATCCCCACCCCACGTTCACACCAGGACCAGCACCAAACCCCAGCCCCTGGCAGACTCTGTCACATCACATCAATTAGTTGCAGTGGAAATTTCGAGGGATTTAGTGCATTTTGTGCTAGGAGAGGAAAGGAGGTGGTTCCTGGATCAATTTGGACAAACCAGGAGGGACTGACCACAAAGCTGACAGCTGGGTGTTTGCCAGCGACAGCAGCAGTTCTGGCTCTCTTTGCCCTCTTGTATCTGTGCTTCACTTTGATCCAGAAGGATCTGTTTGGTTTCTGGTAGTAAGAATCAGGGAGCAGCACCGTCCAGCTCTGAAGCAGCCTGTAAAAGACCAGGGCTGGAAAGATATCTGCCTCACCCTGTAATCTGTCATTTTCCAGTTTCATTGAAGTGTTTGGCCAGGAGAATCCCATAGTAACAGCTCTTGTTTACAGACAGCTTTACCATAAAGGCAGAACTGCTCATTCCTTTGGTGTCACTGCTGAGTGACACAACCAGCTATCCCACATCCACGGGTGTCCTTCCAGACCCCCACTAAGGACCAGGATGCAGCAGAAGCCAAGTTCAGGACTATTTAGAACCTGAGCCTGGGGGAAAAGGGAGGGACTCTGCATGAACTAAGCTCCATCTGAGCACAGATGTTCTGTAAGCTTCCTTCCTGAGCAGACCCAGATCTCAGCTCGGATGTTAAACACCAAAGCATCCAACTGGGTTTATGCAACTGTGCTTGGCACTGAAGTCCTGCCTTTAGCAAGGAAATGAAATGGGATGGATGCACATGCTTTGCAAGTGAAAGCAAGGAAAACAGTCACGTCTGTGCCAGAACCCACCTGCCACTCAGCTCAGTGCCTCCCCTGCAGGCCAGCCAAGACCTGAGCTGCCCTACCCTAATATCAGTGGGGAAGGAGCACCGTATTTGAGAGATAAGAGCTCTCATAGCTTTGCTGAAACCACAGCACGTGGAGAAGACAGAAGGGGCAGCTCCTTCCCTGTCTCTGGAAGGGACCAACACACCCAAAGCTGATGCCAGGTGTTCAACATGCTTCCCCAGCCCCAAGGAGCAGAGCTGTGCCTGGGCTTTGGGCAGCACCAGGACACGCAGCTGCTCATTGCTTCTCACCTCTACTGTACTGCTGCAACAGAATAGGTGGGGAAAAAAACACCACTCAGAAACAGAGCTCTGATGAGTCACTATAGAAATAGCTCTGGGAACATAAAGGACTCCATTGTGTCACTACAAAGTGCATTAACAGGCCGGACAGCAGACAGAATAATATAAAAACTACCGATCACTTACCCAGCTGCAAAGCACAGCAGTGCCCTGCCCTGAATTTAAGCAGCACATGTAACCTGGTCCATTCTGGTTTCAAGCTCAAAGGCATCAGGTCGATCCTGCGGGTTAGCAGCCAACATGTCTTTCAGAAGCTGCTTGATGCCCTCAGACATGGAAGTCCTGCGTTTCTGAGGGATGTGCAGCTCCATCTTTGGGTTTTCTAGCAGCGCTTCCCCGACGGGCACGATCTCAGTCCCCTGCTTGATGTAAGTCCCCAGCAGCTCCCTCTTGGTCTCAGCATCAATGAAGGTGAGCCTCTCAATCATGGCCCAGATGATGATCCCGAGGGCGAAGATGTCAGCCTTGGCAGTGTAGTGCCCCTCCCAGACCTCGGGGGCCATATAGAAATCAGAGCCACAAGCCGAAGACAGCCAGTACTTGTTCACATTCACGTTTCTGTTCTCGTGGCCACCCTTCTTGCCTCGAGCTGTCAGACCAGCACAGACCTTGCTGAGCCCAAAGTCAGCCACCTTGAGAACAGGGGTGCCGGACTTCTCTGTGATCAGGATGTTGTCTGGCTTCAGGTCCCGATGGACAATGTGGTTCTTGTGCAGGAAGGCGATGGCACTGGTGAGCTGCAGCATGAAGCTCCTGTTGGTCGCAGGGTCGGGTCGTCGTGAGAGCACGTACTGGTTGAGGTCCCCCCCCTCACAGAACTCCATGACGAACCAGAGGTAGCAAGGCTCCTCCGCGTAGCCCAGGATCCTCTCACCTTACCAAAATGGAGCAAAAAGAAACAAAGAGTGAGTTCTGACAGGCACATTGGAAGGTGTCCACACTAACTCAGAACAAGGGCGAGACACGAGGCTGGTTTATGAAGATAGTAAAGGTTTTAGGAACGAGATGCACTGGGGCAGGCTGCCCAGGGAAGCAGCGGAGTCACCCACACACACAACGCTCCCAGGGCCAGAGTCCTGCAGCACACCAGCTGCTCTCAGGCCAGATGCACGCTGCTTAAGCACTGTGTTTGTGCTGAGAGAGCTCTGCCACTTTCCTACAGCTCTAGTGAAACACCAACAGGTCTTCAAAGAGAACAAACTGGAAGCTCAAGTAGCCAACTATGTTTAAGTGCAATCTCAGCCATGCTGATGGATCCAACTGCCTCTACCACAGTCAGCAAAGCACAGGCAAGTCTGAGTGTTTGGAAACCACTTCAAGAACTCCACCTACTTTACCAAGTTATTTTTTTCTCTCTTAGCAAAGGCCTGCAGACCATCTGGGAAAGCAAACTCCCAGCAGCAGGTAGAGCCAAGCACTACCAGCACCATCGAGCCCCAGGCTCTCTGGCATCCACAATGGTCAGCGATTGGCGTGGGTGGGAATACTGGTTATTTGCACAAACAGTCTGTATCCATAGCTACTGCTATGGAAATCAAATCCTGCACAACACAAAGATTTGGCTGCACCTCCCTGCCCTCAGCAGAGCATGAGGAGTAGAGCTGGGATGGGGGGTGGAGGGGGGGGAAGGGGGGCAATAGCTCCCACCTGGGGTCTGCAAAATGCTGAGCACAGTGCCCAGCACGAGGGATCAGGGAGCTCCTGTCAGCCTGCAGCACGAGGAACCACAGCAGTGCCATGTGCACAGAGCTGGGAGCATCACAGCACAGAACACAGGTGGGAGGAGACAGCATTTCCCAGCAGCCCCATCCCAAGGGGAAAGCAGCAAAGACCCGCTGGCTTTGACATGCTGAGGTTTGGGCTCAGCATAACAAAGGCTCAGATTCAAGATGTGGCCCCACAGCTCTGCAGGCACAGGGAGGACGCTGCTGACCCAGCAGTAGCTGGGAGCACGGTGCACTTCACTTTGGGTGGAGCGCTGCTGGGAGAGGTTGAAGCCAAGAGTAATATTTCCTCATTTTCTTTCTATAATGTGAAAGTGTTTGAGTTGTTAAATCATCTTCCTGCCTTCAAAACAAACAGCTTTAAACATAAAGAGCTGGCAAGCCACTTCTTAAAGATGAGAGTTTAGCAAGAGAAGCTGCCAAGAGCTGAAGGGATACAGACAAGAGCCCAGAGCTCCGGCACCAAGTGTGCATCCCTCCATCCCCACAGCCACTACCCTGCAGCCTGTCCTGGGAGCTCATTAGCAGCTTGCTAATTTGCTTAACATCACTGGGAACAATCTAATGCCAGCAGAACCAGCCTCCCACTCCCCAGTGCTGCATGGAACCTCTAACTCCCACTGGGCAAAGACGTTGTACTGGAGAGAAGGAAGCCAGCAGCATGAAGCCAGGCACCTGGACCCGTGGGCGACGTGCCATGGAGCACAGCCCCAGCTCTGCTCACTGAACAAAGCAGCTCTGCCCATCGCTGCTGTGTGTCAGGAGCAGCTAACAGTGCACACAGCCAAGCACAAGAACCTGGAGGTGTGCACACACTGGGGCACTGAGCACATTGCTCAAGTCCACACCTCTCCTCAAGGCTCAGCACTGCACACTGCACTGCCTTTTCGCATTCTGCCTCAAATGAGACATGGCATAATCAATTTAACACGACGGAGATGATGGCTGAACGCTGTAGCTGCGACCTGGCATAGCCTGGTATCCCGACAGTTACGCTCCTGATGTAGAAAGAGCCTCAGATTAATCCCCCCACACACCCTGAGCCGGGCGCCTTGGCACAGCATCTGTGCAGCCTGTAAATAGCCACGCTGCGGTCGTGCAGAATGGCACGGCTGCACGGCCACGTGCCCACTGCTGCCTCAGCCGGCAGTGCTGTGGGCAAGAAGGGAACATGAGCAGCTCAGGGGCTCTCCTGTAGCAATATTTATCAGTACGGTATCAAAGCCAAAGGTGGGGAAGGTGGTGAGCACAGCCTCTGCCCCTGCCTGGGACCGGCAGATAACACAACTTGGAATGCAGGCACAGAGAGGGAGAAGCTGAAGTGGGACTAAGGCAAGCAAAGCTCTCCCAGCAGCAGGGAGGTGATTCTGCAAGGAACAGAGGGCTCTCCACCTGCCTGCAGATGGGTGGGGAGCACTGACAGCTCCTCCAAAGCCTTCCCTGAGACATGCTGCCTATGTGGGGCAAGAGACCCCAACCACAAGGAGCTCTCTGTGTGGTAGGCAGGCACCCACCTCACAGGGGTGCACAAAAAATAGGGTAGTGCCCTTCTTGGGGACACTGCCTTGGATGTGCGTGTGAGGAGTGAAAAGAAGCCAGGCTCAGGGCCATGTAGGTCACACACAGGTCCAGAGATGTTCTCAAGGGTTTGGGAGCTGTAGATCTGCTCAGAGGTCAGCTCTGCAGCCTTCCACAAGGGGACACCAAACCCCTAAGGGGCACAGGCATCTGGAGAGGCACTGGGGGCACACAGGAGATGGGGCTCCATTATTTTTTCACCTCTTCACTACATATTGGCAGAGCTGGGCCTGACAGCAGCCAAAGGAGCAGAGGCAGAGAGCGCTTTGGAGATGTCACCATCACAGTCATCGGTGGTGGCAGGAGGTGACCCCAGCAGCTGCGTGATGCTGCCAAGGGGACCCAGGGGAAGTGGCAGCCGTCCCTCTACAGCAGAGTGGTGGAGAAACAGGGATGGTAGAGCACAGAGAACAGTCCCAAAGTTGCCAGAGCCCATGCGAACACAGAGGGCACCACAGAAGTGGGGTCACAGCCTCAGGGCGCTTGGAGGAGATGGGGCTGCACAGGAGAAGGACTGAAGGCACACAAAGGGCTGTGGCAGTGGGCAGAGAAGCAGAAATGGGGTGTGATGGAGGGATGGGGAAGGCACAGAGGGATGTGCCTGAGCCTGGAGGTGACAACGGGAACACAAAGTAGGAGGGCTGCAGAGGGGGAAAGCAGGAGGAGAGGGGTCCCTGTGAGCAGCAGAGGGAGGGAGAGAATGGGGTCAGGGGACACAGCACAGTGCAGGCAATGCAGGACTGAGTGGGAGAAAAAGTTGTAAAGTAAAAGAGATGGAGAAGAGCTGAACAAGTTGGGGGCAGCTTGGGGAAAGCAGGGAGGGCTGCCTGAGCGCAGGAGGGATTTAAGCAATGGGGTGACAAAGAGGAAGAGAGAAAGAAAAAGGGTACAATGGGAGCATCCATGGGGGGGCTCCAGAGCTGGAAGGCTGGGGAAGGACATCGGGGGAGCCCAGCAGCCTATAGGAACGGAGATAGGAGGGAATCCCTAAGAGAGGGGGACACATGGACGGACCGGGGGATGGGAAACCCGGGCAGGAAGGAGCCGGGGGTCGGGGCAGGTGCGGGGCGGTACCTTTCAGGGAGGTCTCCACCAGCCGCAGGTAGAGCTGGCTGCGCTTGTTGCCGTGGCTCATGCGCTGCCCCAGGCCGTGCCGCTGCAGCACGCACTCCTCGAAGCGCACCACGTTGGGGTGCTGCCGCCTCAGGCTGGTCAGCGCCCAGAACTCGGCCAGCGCCAGCTCCACGTTCTCGGGGGCGTCGCAACGGATCCTCTTCACCGCCAACCGAGCTCCGCTGCAGCTCGACACCGCCTCGTACACCACGCCATACGCCCCGCGGCCGATCTCGGCCAGCAGGCGGTACCGAGGGGCCCCCGCGCCGCTACCGCCCGGCCCCGGGCCCACCGCCGCAGCCTCCTCCTCCTCCTCCGCTACCGCCGCCGCCATGGGGCCGCGCCGAGCAGCCCGCCGCCGCCGCGCCGCCCTTTGTGTCCCTCGGCGGCCGCCGTCCGCCGTTTCCATGGCAGCGCCGCGGGGGGAGCCCCGCTCGCGCCCCCCCCTCGCCCGCCTGGCCCCGCGGAGCGCCGCGCCGGGGAGCGCCGAGCGGGCGAGGGGGCACGCGCCGCCGCATCGGAGGGCGGAAAAGCGCGCCCTGCCGGCCCCTTTAAGCGCTCGGCCAATCGCGGCGCGCCGGGCCGTACCACTGCGCCGCGGGGGGGGGAGCGCGGCGCGGGGCGGGGTAGGTCGCACCCCGCGGGGGGGGAACCGCGGCGAAGACGCGGGGCTGACGGGGCCGTAGGGGTGGGAGCGGCTGCCTGTGCCGCCTGCGGGGCTTCTCGGCGCGGAAGGCGACGAGAGCGGCGCGGGTCCGGCCGGGTGCTCCCCCGCGGGTTGGTGCGCGCCGCGCGGCTGTAAACACCGCGGCCGTGGGGAGCGCTCCGCCCCGGTGGGGTTTGTGGCCTTATGTAACGGTGGGGACGGAACGGCTGTGCGAGGTCGGCCTGCGCCGCTCTATCCGCCGCTGCCGTATCTCCGTGTTCTGGAACGCCTGCAGGGATGGTGACATCCCCCCCACACCCACACCCACCCTGGGCAATCTGTGCCCAGAGCAGCACCGCTTTTCCCGAGGCGAAATTTCTCCTGATGCCCGACCTGCCCCTCCCCTGCCCCAACGTGAGGCCATTGCGAGCAGAAGCCGCTCCCACCTCCTTTCAGGGAGCGGTGAAGTTCCCCCTGAACCCGCTCTGCTCCGCGCCGCATCCCCCGCCCCGTCATCCGCCCGAAATACGCAGATGAAAACCCTGCGGTGGCTCTGCGGTCTGCACGCACCCAGCGTGAGCATCTCCTGCGTGTGCTTCGAGCTCCGTTCACATTGGAAGCCCTTCACTTCCCTGCCTGGCAGGCGATGAGGGGCTGCCCCTTTTGCTCCAGCCTGCTGCCTGGGGCACAGCGTGCGGCCGACGGCAGCTCAGCACGACGCAGCCCCGAACACCGCTCACTGCCGCCCTCAGTCCGCAGCCGCTGTCCCTGCGGCTGTCGTCGCCCCTTTCTCTGCTCCGTATCCTCCCCCACCGTGTCCCTCCTTGCACCGCTGCGGGGCCGGGAGCAGCCCCCGGGCACAGCCCGGTGCCGCTGACGCTGCGTGCCGCTGCCTCCCACCCGCTGTGCCTCGCACTTTCGTCCCCCTCCTCTCCGAACCCTCTTAGAACTGATGCAGTTAAAGCAAACTTAACTTTTCTATTACCGCTCATTTCTCTTACCCAGGTGCTTAATTACCATTGTCCCAGGGAAATGTCAGCATGACTCACAGGCAGTTTCCCATTAGGAAGAGACGGATGAATATTAATTACGCTCACAGGTGGGTGGCTTTGGTGGCAGTGCCTTTCCCAAAAGGGCCATGTCACCCCCACACCCACCCGGACCGCAGGGACCAGAATGCATCCAGATCTGCACACATAGGAAGTAATGGGGGCTGCGGTGCTTTGGGGATGGGAGAACCCCGATCTCTTCCTGCAGCAAGCGAGGTGGAGGCACCTGCCTCATCCCGTGCCCATGGGGTTAGCTCAGTCTCCAGAAGCCCCAGTCTCTATGGGGCATTACCTGGGGATGGGGATGCTCCAGGTGTGTGCTAGGATCTGATCCTGCTGCCTGCTTTCGTGTGCTAGGATCTGATCCTGCTTTTGGGATGCTCCACATTGCAATCCCTGAGCACACACCTGGAGGTGGGGCTCTTGGAGCCACTAAGGCAGGATGGGAACTAAGTGCACCAGCAGGAGGTTGGGTTTTGGGGACATGCAGGATGAGATAGGGACTGCTGCTGGCTACATGTAATGGTTTCAGTGTGAGAACCCTCTGTGGAACCCTGTGGTGCTCAGTAGTGAGGGTGAAACCTCCCGGGGCTGCCCACACAGCACTGAGGATGCCACTGTGGTTTGCGGCTGCCTTTTGTTCTCGGCTTTGTTCTGCGCCTGCAAACCTTCAGCTGGGAATGAAAACACACCAGAACACCACACACCTCCTGCCTGTGCCCTGATGGGGACTGAGCCTCCCCATCCCTGCAGCACTGCCACCTCCCAGCACAGCTTCTGCAGGTCACATCCCCTCCACCAGCCCTGGGAGATGAGAGATGCTCGGCCTTTGCTTCACCCTTCCATACCCTGCTCCCTGGGCACCTGGGTGAGCCAAAACCCACATCCAGCAAAACCCATGAGATGCCACGTGCCGTCCACATGCGGCACCCCAAACGTGGTGGTGGCAGTGCAGGCAGCCAGCTCCCAGCCATGTCCATTCCCCTGTGCACGGGGAAGGCTGAGCGCGGGCACTGCGTCCGGCAGCTGGTGCTCAAGCCAGGGAGAGAGGCAGGTTGCTGGGAAACATCCCTCTTGAGCACCGATAAAAATAGCTCCATCTTCAAGGCGAGAGGGCAGGCTGCGCTGCAGCCAGTGGGGCAGTGGGGATGGGATGGGGATGGGGATGGGATGGGGACAGGGTGCCTTGGTCTAATGTGTGGGCACTGGGCTGTCAGGATGCAGTGTTGATGGGGCACAGTGGTGCATGGGTTGGGTGTTCCCCAGTACTGCCCATCCCCAAAATGGGCTTAGAGGTAATGTGTCCAGGGTACGGGGCTAAGCAGAGGGTGCAGGGGCTCCCTGCCTCCCACCACCACTCTCCCCCAGCCCTTTTGGGTTCAGCTCTTTGGGTTTGTCCCCAGGAGGAGTTTGGGTTTGCCCCTTGCCCTTTGGGTGGCCTCCGTCCTCTCTGAAGCTTCCCAGGAGGCTGGGGCTTTTCCCAAGCCAGGAACATGAGGCTGGGGGCTCCCCATCTCCCACACCTCGGGCAGGTCTTGCATTCAGCACCCAGCAGCCAAGAGAGACCCCCACCTACTGCCCATGCCGAGGACCCCAATGGGGTAGCAGTGACCAAGGAGCAACCTGGAGTGCTCACACCCAATCCCTGGGGCTGCAGCGACAGAGCCCACCAGGGCTGGGGCTGGGATGCTGCGGGGCTGATTATTCACGGCTTTCCTCGCCCCGATTGGCTCCGCAGCGCTGAGCGGAGTGGGGCCCCGCCGCAGGAGGAGACTCGGTGGCCATAAAAGCTGGCGGGCGGGCGCCGGGCGGTGAGTACGGTGTGCACCCAGCGTGGCCCATGCCCAGCTCAGCCTGACCTGAGAGCGCAGCGGGACGGGACGAGCAGCAGGTAGGGACGGGGTGCATGGATTTGGGGTTCCCTTCCCTTTACCCGCACGCACCTTGATGCTGGGCATCACAGCTGCTCGAGGGAGTGTGACTCAGTTTGTTTCAAAACGTCCCTGAGCAGCCGAGCATCTCGCACTTTACTCGTTGCTTTATTGCTTTGTTTCAGGACTCACACGGTCGCTGCAGGTGCCCCACTCATCCCCCGGTGGTTTCACAGCATCGCTTTGCTGGGGCTCGGGGTGATGCTGATGCCATGGCTGTTTGCTCATACGGAGATAGCACAGCCCCAGAGCAAAGCTGAGCTCGGGGAGAGGGCAGAGGGAACGGGATGGGTGATGGCATAACGCCGGGTGTGTTGTGATTCGAAAGGTCAATGTAAGGAGAGGAGAGAGCTGCTGGGAGCAGGCTCTGCTCCTCCACAAGTGTCTGTAGGATCCCAAGCTGTCTGGGAGAAACACCCGCGGCTCGGGTGTCTGCACTGCGTGGTGACATCTCTGTGTAGAAATGCTCAGAGGTACAGGGGGTGATGGCTGGGAGCAAAGCCCTCCGTGGCCGTGCTGTGCTCTGTCACCTGCTGCGCACCCAGGGTTGCTCCCCATCCCTCTGTGCTGGTGCAGCCGGGGCTGTAACCCAGAGCTGTGGTGCACAGACACACCTGGGGCTGTCTTACATCTTGGCACCAAAAACCTGAACAGAAAAGGGGCAGAGAAGGAGCAGCCGTGCAGCACACACAGGACACGGGTAGGAACCAAGGGCAACCCCAGTCTCTTACAGAGCTGCTGTGACCGTGCAGACGCATTCCTCAGGATGGATGTTCTGGGCAGAGCTCACCTCAGGGTGCTCCAGGTCCCATTCCAACCCCATTTTTCTTCCTCTTCCTTTTGTCTCTCCCCTTTTTGAGCATCTCTTCTCACTTTCACCTAAAGCCCTGCCTTGCCTCCCCTTTCCCTGCCCCGTTCTCTCCTCCTCCTGCAGCAGCAGGACGGCAGAGCACCTTGGGAGCATCTGTGCTGAGGTACGTTCACATCGGGTGCATGGGGCACTGCAGGGCTGCAGCTTCCAGGCACGATAGCACAGCAGCATTTACCTTAGCAGCAGGTGAGTCCTCTCTCCTCGCTCTGTGCCATTGAGATGAGCAGGGGCTGTCAGTGCTGCTGTGCCCGTGTCTGTGCCCATCGCTGCACTCGGGCTGTGCAGCGCAGCTGAAGAATTCAGATTTCTCGACACACGATGGTGAAGATAATTCAAATTCAAATTTAATTTAGCGTGAATTAATACCGTGGCATTAACATTTCTTCATCAGCGCCAATTAGAGTACATTAGCAGACAGTGCCAAAGAATACAATAGTCTCTAATATGCGTCATTAATGTGTAACTGATCCCTCTGGGTCATGCCTTCCCACCTTGGATCGAAGCAGGCGCAAAGGCAGTGGGATGCTGTTGGGTTGGCTCTTGCTCCTGGGGCTGGTGGCACTGCGGCCCCTGGGTTCTGGAAGAGCTGCTGGGGGCTCTGGTGCCCCACTCCAACCACAGTGGAGGGCATGCAGCCCTCCTGGCCTCGTGCAGGGCTCTCAGAGCCTGGAGGGTGGTGGTTGCAGCCAGCAGGATTAAACCTGGGATTGGCGTTCTCCCCCTCCCCATGCAGAAGCAGCAGGTGGGATGAGGGATGCAGGGGATGGAGCACGGGGTGAGGCTGTGCTGGAGTTGGGTCACCCGGTGCCTCTGCATCCCCTGCATCCCCTTCTGCCAGCAGCTCTGTCTCGGTACTGTTCTTCCCCAAGGCCAAGGGGAGGGCTGATTCATCCCCTCTGTGCCACACAAACATACGATGGCAATATTGCAGAGAGCTGTGATGCTGGAAGGAATGAGAGACTCTGCCTGCAAATGGTACGTGCCGGGCAGTGCAAAGGCTGGGGTGGGGCTTTGGTCCTTGTGTGTGAACCCACACGGGCTCAGTGTCCTGCAGCATCCCTTGGGTCGCTCCCCTGGGAGCAGATCCTGGAGGTGAGTCATGTGGATGCGGGCACAGCTCCCCAGGAGCAGGCAGAAGAGGTAGGTGCCTGCTGCACACAGACAGGCTCTGGCACTGACAGGTGATGACTCCCAGCTCTGGGTTCAGATAGGTGATGCTCTCTGTGCTCTCACCCTCCCCAGGCAGCGAGGCACGATGGCACAGCAGGTGCTGGCACTGGTACTCTACCTCTCCCTGGCTGCAACAGCCTCTGCTGACTGTGCAACCCAGTGTTCCCTCTGTGCCAACCAGGCACGTGGCACCTTGAGCAGCATCCAGCCCCTGGTGAGTGTTGGCCCCGAGCAGCCCCCAGCATTCAGCATTGGGGTGCAACAGCAGGGACAACTCAGGGTTGTCACGGGGTGGTGGTGCATGGTCTGCGGGTTGTGGTCACTGGCACCTAGCGGTTCTGGGAAGGCACAAAGTTTGGCTCCTTGTGAGCTTGGTGGCATGGATCCAGAGGATGGGATGGCGATGGATGGGGTAGTGGTACCTGAGTGCTGGGTGATGCTGGTGCTGTCACAGCCACTGTCTTGCAGATGTGCCTGTGGCAGTGCCAGGGCTCCTCTCCGCCTGGCACCGAGTGGGAGAGCTGCAGGAAGGCGCTGGCACTCCTGGCCCCATTGGTGGCCCTGGCCGAGGGGACAGAAGGGACAGAAGCATCCCCAGCAGAGGCGGATGATGAAGCAGAGCCAGAGCAGGATCCCAGCCCTGAAGAGCTGCCTCTGGCACCGGCCAAACGCTACGGAGGCTTCATGAAGACGCTGGCCAAGGGGAGGCTGCTGTCCCTGCTGCGCGACAACGCCCACAGCAAGGGCAGCCTCAGCAAGAAGTCGGGGGGCTTCAGCCACAATCCAGGGGAGCAGGTGGCCCCTGAGAACTACCCGGGGCCGGGGGGGAGTGAGGAGCCCAAGGGTGCGGGGGCTGAGGGGCAGGAGCTGGCAGAGCTGCACAAGCGCTACGGGGGCTTCATGCGCCGCATCCGGCCCAAGCTCAAGTGGGACAATCAGAAGCGCTACGGGGGCTTCCTGCGGCGGCAGTTCAAGGTGACCACGCGCTCGGATGAGGACCCCAGTGCCTACTCAGGGGAGGTCTTAGACCTATAGAGCCTGGCATGGGACAGGACCCTGTGCCACCATCACCCCAACCCCATCCCTTTGTCTCCTGCTCCAAGCGGCTGCCACCATCCTCGCCTCATCCTCCTCAAAGGGCCATGGGCTCTGCCACCTCCACCCCAGCCCTGCGAACGCTCCATTTCTGCCCCTGTTTTCTCTCTCTGGTTCACTTGCACAGCCTTTAGGGACCCTGTGTACCCAGGGGATGGTATCACACCCCAGCTGCTGGCAGCACATCCAGTGGGGATGCATCCCCAGCCCTGGCACAGCTGCAGATGCACAGCAGGGGCTGGAAAATATCACAGCTGGTGGATGAGGTAACAGCTTCCAAGTCCCAGGAAGGATGAGACTGAGCAGGGCTGAGATGCAGCCAGCAGGCTGGGGACTGTACAGTGGCCATAGGGAGGGATGGCAGGGCAGCAGGGGGCTGAGCGTCCCCATCCTTTCCCCAGTCCACCCACTGCATTCTGCTCATCCTAGTTCCACCTGGTCCCGCTGCCCTCCCTGATACAAGAACGCTCTCTGGTTCACCCCACCTGAGCCCCCTGCTCCCTCCACAGCCAATAAAAGGCAGATGCCAACAAAGCCATGGTGGGTGCTGAGCATCATCTTCCTCTGGGGGGATCCAGCCTCAGCACAAGAGGATCACATATCCCAAACCAGGGCCTTGGGAGTGCCCACAAATCCCATTACTGCTTCCCTAAGGCCATGTGTGGTTGTGAACCCAGGCACAGCGACCAAACCATCCCATTCCCACACATTCCTATTGAGCACAGTATGACCAACAGCAGCAGCTCTGTGCCAGCAAAGCCCAACCAGGGCAGAACTTCTCCATAGCCTCACTGCTCCTGGCTGCAGGCACACTAAGCTGTTGGGGGATGCATGCTTGGGGATCCAGCATTGACCACCCAACCTCAGCATCACCTCCAGGCTGCTCTCCTCCTCCTTTTCCCTTTGCTGCAGCACTGGGGCTGCACTGGATGACCCCCCTTCAAGAACACAACACGAGCTGCCGGCCCCCCACCACACAGGCAGGTGACACAGTGACAGCCCCAAAAGCCACCAACACACAGGACTTTCCACTTTTATTATAAAAATATCTTGCAAGCAACAAGAAAAAAAAAAAAAAAAGAAGAAAAAATCACGGTCAGTACAGGCAGTCTCGTAGATCCCAAAGCAATGCCAGGGCTTCCCCACCCCACACTGGTCCCATGCGTGATGGGGGAGTGGGGGGCCTGGGGCAGGGGACACATAGAAGATATGTATGTCCCCCTCCAGTCATTGCTGCAGGGAGCTGCTGGTGCCCCCAGCCCACATCCAAGCAGGGGGTGCGTGTCAGACAGAAGCTCTATGGGGTTTCCAGGGTTTTTACGGAGGCCTTGCTCTTCATTTTGCACATCTTACCCTATAGTGCAACGTACACAGCAGTACACCCACGTACAACACGTGAAACATTGGGGTTGAGCTCTAGAAATTAGGACTTACATGGCAAACATTTAGAACATGTTAAACATTACTGAGGGGTAGGGGGCTGTGCCCGGCAGGGGGGGCTCACTGTGGCCCCAAACACACAGGGTTGCCTGGCTGGAGGGGGGCTGCGTGCTTTGTGCAAACCCAGGGCACAGATCTCTGGGCTGTGTGGAGGAGGAGGATGCTTGGTGATGGGGCAAAGCCAATATGGCTGCAGCTCGCCTCCTGCAGCCCCCCAGTCCTATTGGCATCAGTGCAGAAGCCTGTGGAAGAGACACTTGGAAAGAGAGGTGGACACTGACATCGTTCCTTTAAAGCCAGAGTTCGTTTTCCACACAGCAGAGCCCCCAAAGGCAGGTGGGAGCCCCTGGTCTGGAGGCACCATCCTGGACCCTGATGCACTGCAGTGCTCTCCAGCGACGCATCCTCGGGTTCTGTGAGCAAACCCAGTGCACAACTCAGGGGTCCCCACAGCCAAGGGTTTTGGGAGTCCCAAAGGTAAGGAGCCCTCAAGCCATCCCACAAGCCTGCAAACACAAGTCAACCCCCAGGAGCAGGCACAGTGCTGAAGGCCGCACTCCCAGCCCACAACACGGGTACCGTGGCTGAGAAAGCTCCTCTGAGAGCTGAGGGGAGGACCAGGACCCCCGTGAGCCCCAGCCCCGCTCACTGCCTCTGGATCTGGACGCTGGCATACTCAGAGCTGCTCTCCTCGGGGCGTGGGGTGGGCCGCCGGGGTGCCTTGCTGAGGTGCACCATGTCCAGGTCGGCGTAGGTCAGGTTGTCGCTGCTGGCGGCCGGCTGGCTGCTGCTGCTATTGCTGCCCTGGATGCAGGCGTACTCCGACTGCTGGCTCAGCTCGACGATGCGGCGGATGCTCTTCTTCTTCTCTTTGGCAAAATTCAGGTCGGCGTAGGTCAGGTTGTTGGGATCAGACTCCTGAGTGAGACACCAAAGGGTTTTGTTTTGCAAAGCGCACAGTGAGTTCCCTTCCCACCCGTGCCAAAATGCTCTCCGAAGCGCCGACACCGCCTGCGTATTGCGCTGCCCATGCAGCAGCGCTGGGTCCATCCCACAGCACGCAGCCACGTCACCAAATGCAAAACCACCCCACAAACTGCCTCGTGCCTATGGTGCAGCTGCTTCAGTCCTAAAGCCAGGCCTTCCCGGGAGGAGGAGGAGAGAAGGCAAAGGCAGAAACGATGCTGGGAAGTACTGCAGCTCCTCCTCCCTTTGGCCACAGTGTGGAGACACTGAGACACTTTGTGCACAGCCTCTCCACCCTCCTCTCCCACAGCTGGGGGCTGCTCCCCACCCCGGTCCCCGAGGTTGGTGACACACCTGGGTGGTGGTGGCTCCGCTGCTCTTCTCTGGTTCGTGTAGCCTGCAAGGGGAAACAAGGGGTCAGGTGCTCCACGTATCTCTTCTCATGTGATGGAGTAGATTGGGGGGGAGAGTCAGATGCAAAGCACAGAGATGTACACTCACCTGGCAGATGGAGAGCTCTTACCTGACAGGGGAGAAATAGTTTAGGAAGGAAACAGTTCAGAGAACCCCCACCTCCCCAGGCATGCCAGCCTACACGCTGCATTTCTCAGAACTTTGACTTCATTTCAGCAGCTCCCCCCCATGCCACGCACACAGTTTCTTTATCCTTACCCTTGCTCTGCTTTGTCCGAATGAGGTAGAGAACTGCAATCACCAGCAGCGCCAGCACAGTGCACACCACTCCCACGGCCACATAGATGAGACTTTCTACAATAGGAACCTCATGTGAGAAATGTCACTGTGGACCTGAAAGCCCCAGGGGCAGCGTGGTGACACTGCACGCACTGAGGGGCACATCCAGCAGCACCCCCAGTACAAAGACCTTAACCCACATTCTGGTGGGACTCTGAGCTTGTCCCGGGGGTGACCTCCCATCCACCCCTCCCCACATGCACCCTGCAGCTCTCACGCACTGCTGTCTCCGATGGAACTGCTGTCGATTATCTCTGGGGTTGGGACAGCCACCTGCATGGTGCCCGTGCTGGAGACGGGCTCCTGGTCCTCGTGCACCACCCGGCAGGTGAAGCTGGAGCCGCGCTTCTCCTCCGCCGCCTGCACCGTCACCGTGCTGTTCAGCTCAAACAAGCCCTGGGGGGTCTCTGCTGGCTGCGTGGTGCTCCCCGCGTTCAGCCCCGTCCCGTTCTCCAGCCAGGTGATGCTCACAGCTCCCGGGTAGAAGCCCTGCACGCGGCAGCTGAAGGTCACCGTCTTGTTCACCTCCACGGCGCCCGGCGGCGCAGCGACCACAGACACGCTGGGGGGAACTGGGAAGAGAAGCAGCGCCTGGAGCCGGCGTCCCTGAGCCCACGGCTCAGCCCTGCCCCAGCCCCGGGGCTGTGAGCCTCACCTCGCAGGGCCTGGCCCAGCGCGTACGTCCTCCTCAGTGGGGCTGCCAACGTGCTGTGCTGCACCTGGCAGGTGAGCTGTGAGCGCACGTCGTCCTTGGTCAACGTCACCTGTACGGTGCTGGACATGTTGTAGGAGGAATGTGACAGCTCTGAGGTGATGTGGGGCAGCACAGCCTGAACTGGAACGTTGTTCTTGAGCCACTGCACCTGGATGTCACGGGGGAAGAACCCTCTGGCACTGCAGGTGACGGACACCAACTGCCCTGGTGCCGCTCGGCGACTCGGCCCTGACACGGCCAGCTCGGAGGGTCTGGCTGTGGGAGAAGCATTGGCCCATCAGGGAGCGTCCTGCCCATCCCAGCCCCAGAGGAGAGCCCACCAGGACAGGCTGGGAATCCACTCACCGTGCACCAACACCTCCGTGCCCCCACCACTCTTAAACAGCTCATCTCCCAAGATGACTTTTCTAAACTTCACACAGTAATAGGTGCCAGCGTCCTCAAGACGAACATCCCTGATGTGGATGGTGAAGTCTGTGCCGGATCCATTGACTGCTCTCATCAGACGTGGGGAGGAGCCTTTCTGATCATAAATGGTCTGATTGCTGCTGCCCCAGCCCTTCAGCCACTTCACAGGGCCAATAGGATGAAATGCAGACACTGTGCAGTTCAGGGTCAGTATCTCCCCTTTGATCACCACCACCTGGCCCTGGGGCTGCTGCAGCTTGAAGTCCGGATCCTTCTGGGCACCCACACCTGGGGACAAAGCAGGACCCCCGTCAGCCCCTCCCAGCTGCAGGAGGACCCTGAGCCCAGCACCAGGATGGAGCTGTGAGCCCAGTGCCCTCAGTACAGATGACCCCTGTGTGCCATGCTCAGTGCGCCCAAAACACAGACATCCAAGCCCACCGCCTCCAACACATCCCACTGTGGGGAGAAAAACAAGGAATGTCACGAGGAAACAAGGGCACACGCTGCACCACACTGAAAACCAAGCTCTCCTCTCACACACAGATGCAACACCGCTTTTTGTGCACTGAATCTCCCCGGTTCCCCAGCCCCGACTCGTGCCAGCAGCGCACAGCTCCCAGCTGCAGCCGATGCCGTTCCCTTCGCCGCCGGCAGAGGAAAGCCGTGTCCTGGATGCACGGTGGCTGCAGCTGCAGCGCTGTGCCTCCGCCTCGTGCCCCGATGGGAGCATTGCACCTTTCCTGAGCCTCCCGGAGCCTAGGAGAAATCCCCTGCTGAGAGCTGACATGACCACGCCACCACTCTGGAGATGGCAAGCAGTGCGTGGGAGCGGTGCCACGGCTGTGCAGAGACCATTGAGTTTGTGCAGGGAGCTCCTGCTGCAGCTGCCAGCGCTGGGAGCGTGCACACACCGAGGCAGGGCCATGCATGCATTGTGGTGCAGCTGCAGCCCCACAGCCTGCTCACTGGCCCTTTGCATAGAGGGCCACAGCTGCACCCGGCTCTCCTGCACCAGGAGGTCCCCAACGCAGATTGGTGCAGCTGTACCCCAGCACAGCCACGAGCTTTGGGCCTTGGTGCTTCCCTTTGGAAGTCACAAAGCCAACCCGTGGCACTGAACCAAACCTGTGCCACAAGATAAAGGTGGAAACACCAACTGTCCCACCTGAGCAATAGGCTGAGCTGTTGCTTTCCATCAAAGCAGTGACCGTGTGGGCTTCTGCAACTGGAGCTGACTTTTGGGGTGACACCCACGTTTGGGGAGCAGCCCCAAAGCAGAGCCCAGGGCACAAGCAGTGGACAGCACAGCCAGCTCAGCTGGTGAGCCCCTCCCAAGCTCCTCCACTGCTCGCAGGCTTTTTGCAAGAGCAGTTGAGCAACGCAGAGAGGAAGTCATAAAGCATCACTTGCCCCACATGGGGACAGGGCTGCTCTGGGCACGGGGACCCACTGCCTCCAGGGCAGACCCCCAGCCCCTTTATGCACCCAGAGCAGCTGCTTTGCTGACCTCTCACCGCACCTGGTCCAGCAACCAAAGCCCACAAACTAGCATGAGGTGTTGCAACACAGGAAAGGTCAACGCTGCAGGAAGAGATGGGCCCCCGAGGCACGTGATGAGCGCTTCTCTCCCTGTTCCCAACTACAACCCTGCAGAAAATTGGCTTTGCAGCAGAGCAGTGTGCACCTGCACCCCATTCCCTTGGGCACCCACAGCACCCATCACACCGCAGGAGCCCAGTGCAGCCCCACTGAGCACAGCTCTCTCCAATCCACACGTTCCCTCTGCATCCTCCCTCTCTCCATCTGTTGCGCTCCCGGCGAGGCACGCGCCGTGCCTGGAGGGGAGGAAGAACTCCAGCTTTGGGGTCTGGGGGCTTCGGAGTGGGGCTGGGGTGTGGGCATTCCTCAGTCAGAAAGCACATCCCTGGTTGGGGCCGCCAGGGCTCCTGCTGGCCCCCAGCATTGGCATCTCCATGCTGGCAGCTCTGGGACTCCGTCATCACACGGCTCCAAACAGTCTCGCAGCTTTTGGCTATTTTTTTCTTCTTTCATGTGCTAATTTAGAGATTTTTCCCACAGATCTGCTTGCCCAGCACTTTTTTCAGATTGCTACATTCAGGATTTGCAGGAAATCTGTTATACACGAGCTTCAGCCACAGAACACAGCATTGGCACCACGCTGGCTTAACCGGCCCCACTGCACCTCCTGGATAACAACCACACAGCCATCCCTGCACAGCCCGGTGATCCCAAACCAGGAACACCCTGACACCCCTCTCAAAACATCTCCCAGGGCACAACCTGCTCCCAATCCCAGCACTGCCAAGCCCCCACCGCCCTACAATGGGAAAGCACAAAGGGGAAGTTGCATGAAAACCCCCTGCAAGCCGAGAAATGCAAAGTTGCAACCCAATTTCCTCCCTTCTGCCCTTGCCCCGCAGCCAGCTTCCCCTTGCACCATGCAGACCTCTCTCCTTCCTTGTTCTCACCCAGCTCATAGCATGTTTTCCATCTCGGTGACACATTTTTTTTTGCTCTATTTCCACCTTTTGAAGTATCTGATACCGAACAGATTGCAAGAGGCCGGGGTTTAATTCAGGAGAAGGTGCCTGCATGCTTAGGGCCGGTAAAAATAGCTTTCCTTCTGAAAGCACCAAGGAAGGAGTTCTGGGATGGAGGGGGGCGTGCAGCTGGCCGCTGGCATGCGGGCACTGTGCAGCACCCCAAAATAATCCCAATGGAATTTCACCTGCACAGGGAGGCTGTGGGGAAACTAACAGGTGCTGGCTATAAAAAGAGCCTGGAAGCAGCATTTTGGAGGATAAGAGACCCCAGGATGATTACCCAGGCAGGGCGATAGTAGGGGCTATATTTGACACTGGTGACATCAGATCATGCACAGCCATCATTTGCAGGCTGCACTCTTACAGCAATAGCAGAAATTCAGCTGTGTGGCCAAAGGCCTAAAACCAAGTGAGGGAGGCTGCAGGAAGCTGAAGCCCTTCAGTGTGCAAAGCTCACGCAGAAAGCGAGCGGCCGAGATTTCGCAGAGGGCTCTTTGCCCTACAGGGAGATATCCTGCAGGATCTCCCCTTTCCCCCTTTGCTTCCTGCAGCAGCACTGCCCCTGCCAGCTCCTCTGCAGCACAGCTGGATTGCGGGGCAGGACGGTCCCTGCTAAAAACCCACATGGGAAGCAAGGTTTGCACGCCTGCACCATCAGCCAGACAAAGCAGTTCTCCGACCAACTGGAAATCCAACACTCTGTGCCCCTTTGGGGGCCGGGATGGAACTTTTTGTCCCAATGGAAAAAAAAAAAAGGTGTTGTCCCTTTGGGGTCACACTTGGTAAAGCTCAACAGCTCTGCTTCAGCCATTATCATGGCAGGAAATCACAGCGGCTTCACTGGGGCAGTACTTGCAGCCAAAACCTCCTTTGGCTTTGAGCAGCTCGGAGCACAAAGCTCGGGGCCAACGCTCCCCAGCTGCGGGCAGGCAATTAGGAAAGCAAGCAGTGCTGTGTCAAAAGCATTTGCTTTCTGTTGGAGTTCACACTCAGCTCTGCACTGACGGAGAGCTGCAAGGGAAGAGGTCTCCAGTGGGCTTGGAAAGGCACAGTTCTGCTCAGGGTGTGCAGCTCACTGCAGGGGGAGATGTGGGGTCCGGACAGAGCTAAACAGGCACAGTGCCCACTAGGGAGGTGCATCACTTTTGCCCTATAAAGTTTGCTCCGTCCCCTAAAAAGCCACAGACAACAGCAGGCCAGAAGGAGCCCAGCTCCTCTGCACTATCCCTCAAGATTAATGACACTGAAACACTCTAGAAATGAAACATCCTTGAAAGCAGCACCCAACGCAGGGCTTTGTTCCTGGTGGGCCAAGAAACTTCCTGCTCCCATAAGGGGAAGGGAAACAACGGGTAAGCACCGACCCTGCCTTCTCACAGCACTCTCCCCTAGAATCGATGGGGCCACCAACCACGGGAGGGCAGGAGGAGCCACAGGGAACCCGAGGGGACCCGGAGCTGCCCTAAGTGAGCAGCACGGGGTGCAGCCCCACTTTGCTGGAGCTCAACAGTTGAGCAGCGAGGAGCAATGACAAGACGGAGGGGGGGGGATGAAGGGGGGGCAGCCATAAAAACAAGGTTTGAGTTTTAAAGAGAGCTCCCTGCCGAGCTGCCCTCCTCCCATTCGCACCATCGCCGGGGGCGATGCGCCTCTCCCGGGATGCTGGCAAAGGGTTGGAAGCAACATGCCTCTTCACGTCCCTAATTCCCGCATGTGGCTGCGGAGGGGGATGGATGAACGGCCGGGAGCAATGGAGCCGGGCCCCGCGCTGGAGGTCATCGCCTGGAAAGGTCACAGCAAAGCGCGGCGGCACCGCATCGCGGCCGATGCGGGGTTGGGAGCGGGAAGAGGAGCGGTAGAAAGGACGGGAGAAGAAGGAATAGGGAAAAAAAAACACAGCAAAAAGAGAGAGCTCCGGGCTCACCTGGGCAGGAGGGCGGGCAGAACAGCAGCAGGCAGAGCAGCGGCCAGGCGGGGGGACGGGGCTCCATCTCCGGCTCCTCCTGGAGAACAGAGAGCAGAACGGCTTCAGAGAGGAAAAAGAACAACAAAACCCAACCAACCAGCCGGGTAGAATTGCAGATGGAGAAGGAAACGGCACTTCTCAGCGCCCAAATGAGGAAGGACGGCCGTGTCCCCCCCCCCCCCCGGGGCGGCCGCGGCGCCGTTTTCACCCCCCGTTTCGCCGCAGCGCGGTGCGGATCGCACGGACCTGGCCGGGCCCCGAGCGGCCCCGGGGCCGTTCCGCTCCGCACCGCTCCGCACCGCCCCTCCGCGGCGCCGCCTCCGTTGCCCTGACACCGCGAGCGGCCCCGGTAGCGGCGGGGCTCCCCGCAGCCCGGCACCGCCTGGCTCTTGGCACAGTCGTGGGTGGGAGCCCCCCCCCGGGACACCGGCTGCTGCCTTCTTAAGGTGGGCCGGGGGGAAAGCTTCCCCACCCTGCGCAGGAGGGATGCGGGTAAGGATGGGGCAGCTGCTGCTGCCCGTGAAGGATTGGAAGCGGTAGCTGGAGCTGCTCTGATGGTTTCGGGCATCTCACAGCATGGCACGCAGCCCGGTGCTGTTACCGGGAAAGCACAGAGGTGGTGGGGATGTGCAGTGCTCCCAGATGGGCTGGGCATTTTGTGCCATCCGAGAGAGCACACAGTGCCAGCACCAAACCAGGAGAGCCCGTGGCAGAGGCACGAGTGGCTGATTTGGAGACTCCACGTGGAGTGGGCAGCTTGGCCCATCAGGGTCAGACCGAGCAAAGAGAACCCTGGAGCAGGGCAGGTTGGAGAAGTCCTTATATCCCATCTCTGCACCAGTTCCTGGGCACACACAGACATCCCTGGTGTGTCCCCTCAGCTGGCAGGCTTAGCAGGAGCACATCCAGCATGCAGGATGGGAGCCCACAGCCCAGAGGACAAGGTGACCACCATGAGAAATGGAGCTGAGGGAGAGGGCATCCACGGGACGTTCATCCCTGCTACTCCAACACAGTCTCTCCCACGGGAGACACGTCCTCTGCTATCTGTTCCTACCACTGTTCCTCCCACCACCCTGTAGCACTTCAAGGCCAGGGACCAGCCTGGTGCCCAGCACCCTGCACAGCCACACTCCCTACATCCAGGCAGCTCCCAGTTTCTCTGCTCACCCAGGGACGGCATACTGCTCAGCTCACAGCACCCAGCACAGGTCTCAACCCGAGGGCAGCAGCTGTAGCCATGCTGGGACCACCACAGGCATCAGCTCCGACTCACTCTCCAGCAGCCGCTGGGGCTGTCGGCTTTATTTAGAGCTTCACATAAACAAACAGCAAAGATAGCTGAAGTGTCTTGGCACCATCAGTCTGCACACTGCTCAGCCCGGGTGCGTTCTCTGCATTCTCATTCCTGGTGCCACGAGCCTCCCCCTCAGCCCTGCAAGTACAGCTACACCCTTGCATTACATCCAGCTTTACTTGACCTCACTTGCTCTGGAGGTGGGACAGCACCTGCGATGGCTGTGCTGCACCCCAGGATCCTCAGAGCAGCTCCAACCACTGCTGTTCCCAGGGAGCTCCCAAGAGCCCAACACAGCCGTTGCCTCATTTCCCCTTCCCACATCTGGCGAGCACATGAGCCAGCAGCTGGGTTTGGCTTTTAGCCTCTTGCACAGGCAGCATGGTGATAAATCAACTCTTTGCATGGGGAAAGGGACACGAGATCAGCTACAGTTTGGTCTGCAGCACCTCGGATCCCATGCTTGGAGCAGCACCAGCAGAGCAAGGCGAGGTGCTGGTGGTGCCTCCAATCCCAGTTCTTTTGCTGCAGCAGCACAGCTCCTGTGGGCCTGGCTGCCTGCAGCCTGTCTGGGCTGTTCTCCTACTCAGCACTGAAGGTTCAGACAAACTCATGAGCACGGAGCACAAACAGCCCCATGCGCAATCAGAGTGCTTGGGAAGGAAAGTTGGAGCTTAAAAAAGCTCTGCTTTTTAAGAGAGGAGGAACTGCAGCACAGCAGATGGTGCTTCCCGGGAAGAGCTCCTCCTGCTCTATGTTAGGGAGCATATGGGCAGTATGAGCTGCCTCCCTGCTGCCTGCAGCCCTGTGCTGGAATGTGGTGTTGGGAGAAGCCAGCCCTTGTGCAGGAGGCAGAGAAATGGGAGCACAGTGCTTCAAAGGCGTGACACCATCACAAGTAGTTCCCTATGCACATGAGCAGGAAGCTCTGAAGCACTGGTGCTGCACCCGTGGCACCTCCATGCTCCAGAGCACCCCTCCAGGTTCACGCTGCCAGGTCCCAGCTCTTGGGAGCTGCTGCTGGGGCTAAAGAAGGGTTTAGGACCATTCTCAGCCCTTTTCATAGCTTTGAAGAAAGAGCATCCTGGAGGTGGGTCGGGATGAGCCACAGCTGGAGCAGCAGCATCAACTTGCAGGGATGATCTCAAGCAAATCTCCATCTCCAGGCCCAACAGCAGCCTCACAGCTGTCCCCATGCAGCCAACAACCACCAACAGCACACACACAACACTCAGATTTGCGGGGATCCACAGAAGCTCAGAGCCACCTGGTTGTATCCTGACCCACAGCCCCAAACTGGGGGGACGCATCCTGCAGAACCCCCCATCTCTCCCCACCACCCCCGAGCTGTGGGTTCAGCTCCCACAGGGTCCTCAGCTGAGAGAAAAACACACAAGTATCTCCTTAAGGAGGGATTTCCAATTACGCCACTGATATTTAGGGCTTCCAGCACAACAAATGGAGCTTCAGCTTCATTAGGTACCATGCCAACTTAGCCCAAGACATCCAGTACAGAAGGAGCTTAAATTAGTTTATCTGATGTTAACTTCTAACAAGCAATATGCCAGCGTGGAAATGGGAAGCAGTGACCTTCAGCCTGTGTGCACAAAGCAGCGAGCAGATCCACCCAAGTTAGACCCCAAAGAGAGCAGATACCAATGGAAGAGCAGTGCAGCCCAACAAATCCCCACTGATGAAACCAGAATGCATTGTACCCACTCACTGCTTACCCTCCCTGCAGCACCTAGCTGGGAAAAAGAAATAGTGTGGCACCTGGGAACCCCTTTATGCCATGTTAATAAGCTGCAGGTGCTTCGTTATGACCCCAGCAGCTGTGATGGCCATAGGAAAGTAGGATGGGGGCTGTTGGTTTGCTCCTGCAGAGCCAAGTGTGGCTTTGCCTAAAGCAGAGCTTGGAGGGAGGGGGCTGCTCATAAGAACTGCTTTGCTTTGTTTATGCTTTTACAGCATGATCTAGGGTTCTGCTGGGACGTTGCAGGTCCTTCCCTGAGGCTTCACAGTGATGAGTGTGCTCGCTGCTCCCTATCACAGCAGGACAGGGCAGGAGGCAAATTCATAATCACAGCCTGCTCCATTCCGGCACTACTGGAGTGCTCTGCCAGGGCCAGGTGGTGCTCTTGAAGTCCATAAAGAGGTATTTATGGAGCAGTTTAGCTCTGATTGCTTCGTGTGTGGAGGGAGAGGGAGGGATGTTGCTGCTGGAAGTGATGCATTGGGTACGGTTATGGGGTTTATTTGTCCATGTCCCATGCAGAGCAGCATCGCACCACATCGATGGCTGCAGTACGTGTGGGATGCTCCAGCCCTGCAGCAGCACCCTGTGAGATGCTGGCACTGGGGTAAATCCACTGGGCTTCCTTAACACAGCCCTACACATTTCCAAGGGGGAATTCCTACCAGGCTGTGTCACAGCAGGAAAGGTGTTCTACTTCCTGCCCTGGCCTGGCAGCCTGCCCTGGGAGCTGAGGGATGCAGGGTTTGGGCTGAACTGCTGACACAGTGAGAAAAGCCAATTGGAGGGACAGGAGCTGGTGGGGACACACTGCTGTAAGCTGGTGAGCAGGATCCTGCATCTGGCCCTGGAGGAGGCTTTGCTCTCCCATTGTGGGTTCTGTGGTCCCACGATGCTTGGGGACATTTGAGATCCTGTGGTACCAGGGGACACATGGGGACCGGGTCACAAAGCAGCAGAGAGGCCAATCCTGCACCCCTGGGCTGCAGAGCTCAGGAATATTGTGGGTGGTGAGGCTGCCTGCAGCTCTGCATGCTCAGCTCCATTCTCCAACAGCAGTGCAGGGTCAGCGTGCTCCTGGGTGCTGCAGGGTCAATGGGAGCAAACCAGGCAGCCCCATGGAACAGTGCTGGAGAAACCCCGGGCTCCCTCTTAAGCAGTGCCACAGCAGACAGGGTGAGGATCTGGCCAAGGGAGGAGTGACAGCACCTTGATTTTCTTCTGCTTTTCTCTTTTTGTTTCCGTATTCTCTCAGTCCTTTGTTGACAGCAAGCTGTTATCACAAAAGTGCATCCATGGCTGCAGCAGCAGATAATGCTCAGTGTGCTCCCCAGGCTGTGGTGGCTGTACTTCACTGCTGCCAAATAAAGTGGATGGAAACAAAAATGCAGATGCAGGAGGACTGATCACAGTGTGCTATCTCAGCCCATCGCTTCCTGCTCATCAGAGCTCATGCTGGACGTGCTGCAGGACCCGAAGCCTGGAGGTGGCAGGGATGTGTCCTGGGGGTTAGGGGAGCCACAGAAAGAACAAGGCTCTGCAAAACATGCACTGTGCTCCTGGTGGCTGCGTTGCTCCCTGGTTCTGGCCCGGCCCTGGAGTAGTGTGGTCAGCACAGAACAGGGCAGCGGAGTTATGGAGAGGGATTGGAGATTTTCAAGGCCAGGCTGAATGTGGCTCTGGGCAGCCTGGTTTAGTGGTTGGCAAACCTGCCCACAGCAGTGGGGTTGAAACTAGATGATCTTTGAGGTCCTTTTCAACCCTGGCCATTCGATGATTCCGTGATTTAGGGGCTCTGTGTGGTGTCCTGAGACCTGTGAGCTGAGGATGAGCACCAGCAGATGTCTGCAGACAGGATGCACATCCGTGGGGAGCCCGTTCTGTGTGTGCACTGCGTGTGTGTTGCATCTGCATTGCACGTGCACGTGTTTGCACACGCGTGCGTGCGTGTGCATGGCACAGGGCTGTGGATGCAGGGTCCCAGCTGTGACCACTGCCACCAATCCCACCCCTCTAGGGGAGCAGTGCAGTGCCATGGGACACCGAGGGCATCGCCAGAGCCTGGGGCAGAGCTCTGCGATGTGCAGGGCATGAAGTTCAATCACATGGAGCGAACCTCGGTGTTATGGCACAGCTGAAACGCTCCAGCAATCATTGCACTGCAGCCCTTTAGCAGCAGCTCTGGCCGCCAGCATTAATGATATCCACCCAATTAGCTGCTGCGCGTTCCGCATCGCCCGAAGGATTAACGAATAAAATCATCGTCGCGGGGCGTAAGCGCTTAACGCCGTTAATTAAACCCCGAGCTGATCCCAACCCAAACACCCGGCCTGTCCCAGCAGCGGGGTGCTGGCAGCCAACGGGGCGTGGGGTTTGGGGTGCTGCCGTGCCCAAAGCAGTGGCTCTCCTGCCCGCATCCCCACGGCTGGGGCTCCCCTCGCTCCTGGAAGCAGGAGATGTTTATGGGGAATTTGCCTCGCTCGGGGATATGTTATTTTTACACGTTGCCATAGTGACCGCTACCATTATAAAATTAAGGCTGAACCTTGTGGAAGAAATGGATCTGTCAGATGCAATTATTTACAGACCACGCTGTTTCCCCGCTGTGCCCCCCAGCCCGCAGTCTGAGCCCCCTGTGGGGCCCCATCCTGCTCTATGGGGTGCACCGCAGGGCACCCCGCTGCACTCACCGCTGGCACCACACGGCCCCTCTGCGCTGGCAGCACCGTGGGCGCATCCACCACGGCCACGCTGCTCCTGCTTGCTGTGCTCTGCTGCCTCTCTAAATATTTTTTCCTTTCCTTTACACTTCTCCTAAGAGGGGCACTTGTGCTGGGCTCGGGGCGCTGCCAGCACTGGGGTTGCAGCCAAGTGCAGCCGAGCTTTAAGGTCGCTCCGTGCTGTTGGAGATGGGGTTCCTGTAGCATCCTGTCCAACCCCACAGCACTCCCCCCCCCCCCCTTCAGCAGCTCATTTCCTACGTAAAACCCCTTTGCAGCAGCTCTTTGGGGCAGGATGCACGCAGGGAGCTGTGCCACCTGCAGCTGACCCCACAGGAGGAGCACGGGGTGCCCCCAGTGTCACCAGGAACCCCCCCTGCCTGCCCCATTGCCCCCATGGGTGCTGATCCCAGGCAGGGCAGCAGCGCTGGCTCTGGTGGCCGCCGTCCCCAGGCAATGTCCCATCAAACACCAAGAGCACAAAGTGAGTCTTTCTTCAGCACTGAATGTTCCTGTTCGTCCCACAGCCCTGGAAATCCTTCTGTAATCCTTGCCAGCACCGTGGCCTCAATGACATCCCCCCAGCGGAGCACCGCCGAGGCTAAATGAGCACTGGGTGTAAAGGATTTCCTTCTAAATGTGTTTGACAGCTTTCGTTTTCACTCTCTGTCCCCTCAGGCCTGTGGCAGGGAGGATGGGGAATGGTCAGAAGAGCAGATCTCCAATCTGCCCCACAACTCCAGCGATGTCACACAAATGGCACCAGGCAGGGCAGGGTGGTTCCCAGCACAGCTCCTCTCAGGCACCAGCAGCATCCTCCAGAGAGCTGCTTTGCTCCTCAGCTCAGAGCTCAGCTTGGGGCTCCTATGAATGTCCCCAGGCATGGCACAGACCTGAGGACCCCAGTCACCCAGCAGGGCCCCCTGCCCTCATAGTCAGGGATACAGAAGGTCCCACCGTGCCGCAGTACAGCCCCATTCCTGTGGAATGACAGTGCTTCACAATGCACTGCATCCATGCTGAGCCTTCAGGGCTGGAAGAAAACCTGGAGAGAGCCGAGGCCTCTCCACATCAGGAAACTGGGGGGAAGGACAAAGCTGGCAATGAGGCTGTAGCACTGAAGCAGTTTCTATGACAACCCCAAATCCCAGCCCTCTTTATCCCCTTTAATAAAAATCCACAATAAGCATGAAACATAGGAATAAAGTTCAACAAGGAAGACACAAAATAAATCGAGGAATGGCACAAAACGTGTCACTGCCTTACTTCTGCTTCATTCCTTGCTTTCCGATTAAAATGCTGCCCTGATAAATTGAGGGCTGTTGGGTTTTGAGTTTCTCTGTCCCCTGAGATGGGAGCACAGAGCCTGGCACAGCACGGAGCCTGGGGACAGACACTGGCATCACATGAGCTCCTAGGGCTGCTCCCCATTGGTGTCCTGGCATGGCATCCCCATGGCATCACCTGGTCCCCAAGGCATCAGGGACCCAAATGGCATTGCAGGATCCCCACAGCATTACTGCATCCCCATGGCATCACCTGGTCCCCACAGCATAGTGGGGCACCATCAGGACCCAATGGCATCGTGGGGTCCCTGTGGCTTTGGATGTTCTTTGTCCCATGGCCATTTTCCTGTGGGTTTTGTGGCCACCGCAGTCTCTTGGTGGCAAGGACAGGGATGGGGTCAGAGCAGGAGCATCTCGGACAGAGGCAGCCCCAAGGCACAGCCCGTCCCTGCAGGAGGCACAGCCGGCGCTGGACTCTGATTTTCACACATTTATCCCTGTCCTCTTCCCTTCCCCCCTGCTCAGCCCTGGCTCCAGCACAGGCTCAGCTTTGTCCTTCTTCCTTGCAAGCACTGCCAGCCCCCTGCCCCCCAGGGATGAGCAGAGCCTCTCCTTGCCCTGGCACCCGGTGTGGACACCATGGAGCCAAAGCGGGAGTGACTCAGCCATGCCCCTATCCAGCCATCCTCGTTTGCTAGCCGAGACCACACTCTTCCTCACTGCTTTTCAACCATTCCTCCCCCTCCCCTCACTGCTGGACCTGCTTCGTCCATCACTCTCTCCCCCTGGACTAATCTCTCACTGTCACCACCCGCGTTCTGCTGGAGCCTCGTGCTCCCCGCTGCTTTCCCCACAGCCACTCCTCCCACGCCAGCTCCTGGCACAGCCCCTGCAGCCTCAGAACCGTTTCCCAGCTCTCGGGGCCAGCGGTGCAACGCTCATCCTTGAGGGCACAGCTTGGATCCCACCACCACCCCCGTTCTCAGTGCATGGACCCCCATTGCACCCCGTGGCGCTGCCCGGTGCGCTCCTACCTTGTGTCCACGCTCGGACGCTTGTTTGTGCTTTCACTGCCGGCACACCCCGGGCTGATGGCTTAAAGGATTTTCCTTTAATAACCACCAAATCCCTCTCCTGGGCCGTAAGCTGCAGACCTGGGCCTTTCCTAGGTGCACAGCGCTCCACCGTGCATTTGCCCCTTGCTGCTTTGCATATGCTTGCATCAAACTGGATTTCCCCCCTCCTGGCCCAGCCCAGAGCTTCAAAAGCGCTGAATGCCCTCGAATCTCGTTTCCCCTTGTCTGCGAGGACTCTCCCTGGTTTCAGTGCCCCCAGGCATGGGGCTGGGCACCCTTTGCCCCGGTTATGGCAGCCCCTGCTTCGCCATCAGCTCTGCTCAGCTGCGTTACTCCCAGCTCCAGAGCTCCATCCCAGCTCCCAGTGCCACAGCCCCTGTGTGCCCTCCGGCATTGTGTAGAGGAGGTCAGGCACTGGGCTCCTTACAAACACCCAGCACCGTGCACAGGGCTGCTGCATGCCTCTGAGCTGCTCCCCAGGGAGAATAACCCCGAAACCATCCCCACGACCTGTCCCCTGATGCAGGGGATGCTGCTTCAGCCATGCAAATGAATTTCACAAGTGCCTTCCCTCCCCATTTGCCCCTCGATACAATCTCTGTGTCCCCATACAGCTCCCCTGCGTGCACGCATGCAGATATCTTACGCTGCCCTCTTTCACTTCTCTTTTTTTATTTCACAGAAAAGCAGATAAAATAGTTGAAAGCTGATAAGTGCGTACAGCTTTCAAGGTCAGAGGCAGCTGCAATGATTTCTCTGCAGGAAAAGAGCCTATGACACAGCTCCCTGCCTCCACCTCGCTCCGTCCTCCTCCCGGCGTGTGGCCACAGGATGTGGGTTACAGAGGACAGAGGGAAGGAAGGAGTGGGCTGGAGATGAACGTGGCAGGCACCAGGGCTGCAGGACCAGGGAGCCCAGCCTGCCTCTCACCAACCATCCAGGCGGGTCAGGGCAGAGCTGGGGCTCTGCTTTATTTAATCCCAGCCCTGCGTGGTGGGAGCTGCTGGGGGGCTCAGCACGGAGTTGGCAGCAGCACACTGGGCATGAAGTTGTGACCACACATCTCCAGGCCCCTGCTGCCACTGCAGCATCATTCTGGCTCTGAACACAGCAGGACCAGGTGGCGTGGCTGTTTGCTGGCTTTAATGGGGATGAGCTTGGTGTGGTGATGGGATGATACGAATCGTGGATCTGTTGAGCTGGGAAAGCTCTGGTGGCCTGTGCTGGTGGAGACATTCATGAGGTCCTCCTGGAGCCAACAGCACTGCACAGCTTGCACAAGGCAAAGGTGCTCAGCTCACTGCCCTGATCCTGCACTCCTTGGGGCTGCTGATTCCTGGAGAGGCTCTGCTGAGCCTGAGCTGAGCCTGCCCCTGCCTGGCATGGCCACCAAGACAGGAAGGAGAGATTTGAGATCCTCATGCCAAGCTTGGCCGGCTCCAAGCAGCTCCACTTCTTCTTTCTGGTGCCCGCAGAAAGTCTCTGCTTCCTGCCTCAGTGCTGTGGCAGGGCCAGCTCACTTAGCAGCTCCCCTGATGCTGGCATACTCAGAGCGTTCAGCACCAGGGCTCCTGCTGGGCCACCGTGCTGCAGGCAGCGGCTGCAGGTCAGCATAATGGATGTCCTTGTCCACCTCACTGCTTTGCTGTAAGAATGTAGAAAACCTTGCTATAATCACCCCTGCATGGCAGCTTCCACACAGAGTGCATGGACAGCTGGATGCTCACCCACCACCCACCACCAGCTGCATTACTGGAGCTTTTGGGCAAAGGTCCTGCATCAGGGCATCACTCTGCCTCATATCCACACCCTGCTCGTACCTGGTGGGGCAGCTTTGGGTTCTCTGCATCCTCAACTTCACTGCTGGAGGAAAGAACAGTTCTTAGAGCAAGGACAAGGCAGCTGAGCTCCTCACCACACCCGCAGCAAACACCACCCAGGCCCAGCAAAACAATATGGTGTTTTCCCTAAATTGCAGCTAAGTGAGGCAGCCTGCTCACCTCACGGTGCAGAGGGAAAAGGCAGGAATACCAACCTGGGGGTGCCAGGGTTCCCTGCACAGCATGGGAGAGGGAAGGGCAAGCAGCTTCCTGTGGCCACCTCAGCCACGTGCTGGCTCTGCTCCCCTTCCCTCTGCTTCCTGCGGTACAAGCAGAAGGCGAGGACGAAGATGAGGAGGATGAAGCAGAGCACAGCAGCTGCAACCGCCATGCTGGGGAACGGAGAGGTCTCTGTGGGGACACAAAGTAAAGCAGGGAGAAGGTGCTGGGCACAGTGCAGCGTGGGCCTGGCTGTAGGCAGGGCTGGGGCTGAGCCAGGACAGCCACGATGGGGTCACGCCGGGATGGAAGCCCACTCACCATACACTGACACCTTCGTGCCCCGACCGTGATCAAACAACTCATCACCCAAGAACTGTTTGTGAAACTTCACACAGTAATAAGTGCCGGCGTCCTCGGGGTGGATGTCCTCAATGTGGATGGTGAAATCTGTGTTGGACTCATTCACTGCCCTCGTCACGCGGTGTGAGGAGCCTTTCTGATCATACACTGTCTGATTGCTGCTGCCCCAGCCCTTCAGCCACTTCACAGGGCCAGGGGGACCCAATCCAGTCACTGTGCAGGTCAGGGTCAGCGTCTGCCCCACGGCCACCCACACCTTGTTCTCGGGCTGGTGCAGCTTGAAGCCCCATCCTGCCTGAGCACCTGCATGTGGGGAAAGCAACAGCGCAGCAGGGTCAGAGCTCAGCAAGGAGAGGACAGCTTGCTTTGTTCCTCCTGCCCAGCACAGGCAGAGCACCCACTGCTTGTTCAGCGCCTCAGTTGAGAAATAGAGCTGGGTAAGAAAATGGCACTCAATAGAAGTGGTGGAAGCCAGCTTCAAAATGGGCATGGGGAGAGATTTTGACTCCTGTTGTGTTCCTTATACCTGGCACTACAGCTGCCAGGTGGGGGGGGTGGGGGGGTAGCCAGGCAGGAAAAAGCCCTCCTCTCCCTCCAGCATGGATGCTAAATGTCTTCAACAGGATCCCAAATCCTGCCCTCAGCCCCTCCTGCCCAAAGCCTTTGGATGTGGCTTCCTCACGGCAACGAAGTGCAGTGCACCAGACCCTGCACCTCCCTCACCCTGGGCACACACCTGAGGCCAAGAGCCACGTCCCAAGGCTGGGGGAAATGGCCAAGGAGCTCTGAGGAGGGAGGTGGGTTGTCCGGACACCCTGCAGTCCCTCACCCCAAACAACCCCACACAAGCCCAGAACGTCAGAAGAGAAAAGCCCCCATCCAAGTTTTGTTTTTGCAGGCATGCAGACAGCAGACTCCCAGTTGCGGCCGTGTCAACCCCTCCCAGCCAGCAGCACTCAGTGGCTGTGCCAGCCAGCAGGAACAGGTACAGAGAGAGCTGACCACAGCTTCTGCTGCTGCACTGCCCCGTACTCACCCCACAGCCACGCCAGGAAGAGGCTGAGCTGCCCGACCGAGAGCCGAAGCAGCAGCACAGCACGGAGCTCAGCCATCGGCGCTGCCAAAAGTTTGGGCTCTGACTCCAGAAGGAAAATGAGAAGCTGCACAGGAAATGGAGGCGAGCGGGCGCATGCTGTTAACACTTTTGGTGCCTGCACGGGGCAGCCAGTAGGACACTGAGCCAGCAGGGAGCTCAGCGGGGCTTAAACCTCAAAGTGCATCCTGGACTGGTGCACCCTGAGTTTGCCCCAACCCCTGCACAGAGCTTAGGGCTGGAGGGGCTGTGATGGGCGCAGGGCAGGAGAGCAGCTCTGACCTTGGTCTCAGCAAGACAGCCTCAGCAGCAGGGGGGCTATGCGGAAGCCCTGCACAAGTGGCACAGCAGCCTGCCTTGCTTGAGGTGCACATCGGTTTGGAGCCAGTCTCTCTGGCTGCCCCATGTTGGTGGCTGTGGCAGTGTCACTCATTCAAGGGTGGAGTGGGACCAGCATTGATGACAAGGAACACTCATCAAAACAAGGTGCCACAAACACCATTGGCACCCTCTGGGATGGCACAGGGCTGCAGAGAGGAGCTTGGTCAGTGGAAAAACCCAAACCCCTTCCTTCCCGTTTCAGCAGGAAGAGAGCCTGGGGCCACACCACTCTGAGCCACATTGAGCCACAGCAGCAGGTAGTAGAACATGGCAATCAGCATGAATCGGGCACTGCAGGCGATGCCTCTAACCTGCCTGGTGCTGCTCCTGCTCCAGAATGCCCCAGGTGAGTGCGTGGTCCTGCACAGCCGCAGCCTTTCCCAGAATGCACTCCCCATTGCTGCTGGCAGGGCAACCCTTCTTCGAGCCCAAAGATATTTGGGGTTATTCTCTCCCATTCCAGCTTGCTTTTATCCCCAGCCAAGCACTTTTCTTTATGTGACCACGTCCAACTACCTGTTGTCGTTGTCCCACAGTGTCACAGTGCCAGCTGCCATGGGTGGTGAGGGATGGGGACATCTCTCTGCCTCCTGCTCTGGGATCTAGCAAGGCCCTGTGCTGCACCCTGGCTCCAGAGCCTCTTGCCAGCCCCAGACTCTCTTGTCACTGTCCCCAGGTGTGGGTGCCCAGAAGGATCCAGACTTCAAGGTGCAGCAGCCCCAGGGCCGGGTGGTGGTGATCAAAGGGGAGATACTGACCCTGAACTGCACAGTGTCTGCATTTCATCCTATTGGCCCTGTGAAGTGGCTGAAGGGCTGGGGCAGCAGCAATCAGACCATTTATGATCACAAAGGCTCCTCCCCACGTCTGATGAGAGCAGTCAATGGATCCGGCACAGACTTCACCATCCACATCAGGGATGTTCGTCTTGAGGACGCTGGCACCTATTACTGTGTGAAGTTTAGAAAAGTCATCTTGGGAGATGAGTTGTTTAAGAGTGGTGGGGGCACGGAGGTGTTGGTGCACGGTGAGTGGATTCCCAGCCTGTCCTGGTGGGCTCTCCTCTGGGGCTGGGATGGGCAGGACGCTCCCTGATGGGCCAATGCTTCTCCCACAGCCAGACCCTCCGAGCTGGCCGTGTCAGGGCCGAGTCGCCGAGCGGCACCAGGGCAGTTGGTGTCCTTCACCTGCAGTGCCAGAGGGTTCTTCCCCCGTGACATCCAGGTGCAGTGGCTCAAGAACAACGTTCCAGTTCAGGCTGTGCTGCCCCACATCACCTCAGAGCTGTCACATTCCTCCTACAACATGTCCAGCACCGTACAGGTGGCGTTGACCAAGGACGACGTGCGCTCACAGCTCACCTGCCAGGTGCAGCACAGCACGTTGGCAGCCCCACTGAGGAGGACGTACGCGCTGGGCCAGGCCCTGCGAGGTGAGGCTCACAGCCCCGGGGCTGGGGCAGGGCTGAGCCGTGGGCTCAGGGACGCCGGCTCCAGGCGCTGCTTCTCTTCCCAGTTCCCCCCAGCGTGTCTGTGGTCGCTGCGCCGCCGGGCGCCGTGGAGGTGAACAAGACGGTGACCTTCAGCTGCCGCGTGCAGGGCTTCTACCCGGGAGCTGTGAGCATCACCTGGCTGGAGAACGGGACGGGGCTGAACGCGGGGAGCACCACGCAGCCAGCAGAGACCCCCCAGGGCTTGTTTGAGCTGAACAGCACGGTGACGGTGCAGGCGGCGGAGGAGAAGCGCGGCTCCAGCTTCACCTGCCGGGTGGTGCACGAGGACCAGGAGCCCGTCTCCAGCACGGGCACCATGCAGGTGGCTGTCGCAGCCCAGTGTGGACCCGGAGGTAGCTCCACTGAAGATATCGGTGCACGAGAGCTGCAGCGCGAGCTGGGCGGAGCTCGTTGTTCTGCGGGCTGCGTGCCCCAAGCCCCACACTCGTGTCTGTACCCACACAGGTGCCATTCTCCTGTCCAGCCCTGGTTTATGGCTCGGCCTGCTGCTGGGCAAGGCGCTCCTCGCCCTCGTCCTCTTCTTCCTCTTCAAGCGTTTCCTGCCCTGATGCTGCCCTGGACAGCAGCGGCTCCGCGATCGCCTCCGAGCCCCGCAGCTTCGCCCGCAGCGCTCGGGATGGGCCCGGCCTGCGCCCTTGTGCTTCCCGCTGCTTCGCTGCACGAATTTTAAAGATAAAATCATCAACTCCACACGAACTCGTGCCAAAATCAATACAACGTTTTGCCGAGCTCATCCTCGCGCTGCTTTCCTACGTCGGGGCAGGGTTGGCCCTCCGGGAGGCGCGGCGGAACGCATGGCCGCATCCCGCCGGGCCGCAGGGGGGCGCCGTTGGGCGGAGCGGAGCGGGCGGGGCCGCGTTTCCCACCCGGAGCGATTTCCGGTGCGCACCGCGGCGGGGCGGGGCTGTGGGACCCGGAGCGATTTGCGCGCTGCACCGCGGCAAGATGGCGGACCGGGAGGAGGCGCTGAGGGAATTCGTTGCCGTGACGGGAGCTGAGGAGGAGCGAGCGCGGTTCTTCCTCGAGTCCGCCGGTTGGGATCTCCAGGTAGCGCCGTTCCGAGCCGGCTGTGGGCGGGGCCGCGGTGGGGCCGGGCGGTGCGGGGCGGTGCAGGGCTCGGCTCGGCCCGGCCTCCTGCGGTCTCGGCCCTCGGCCCGCCGCCCACTCGGTCCTCAGCGTCTCGTCAGGGCCGGGTCTGCCGTTTTCGCGGGTCCGGAGCTCGATTTGGATCCGCTTATCTCGTTAAGTCAACTTCATTAATAGAGGGCGAGGGTTTTGTTGAGCCCCGGTGCTCTGGGGGCTGTTCCTGCAGCGTAACCCTTCAGAAATGGGAGCCTCGGGTCGGGGAGGAACGCGTGCAGTCGTGATGACCTCACATAGCAAACCCGGGCAGCATGGCTGGCAGCGACCTGTCTTTGCTAGGACATCCAAAGGGGAAAAGCCCGTAAAATGGCTGCAGTTGGTGTGTCAGAATTCCAGCGTGACAGAACCTTCAGTTATGTTATTAGTGTGTGTGTGTTTGATCTGCTGCTGTGGAATCTTTGATCTCATCCTGAAACACTCCTGGGTTTTCTATTTCAGATCGCCCTTGCCAGTTTCTATGAGGATGGGGGTGATGAGGACATCCTGACCCTCCCCCAGCCAACACCCAGCTCTGTATCCAGAGGCACTGCAGCCAGGTGAGGAGGGAGCTTCAGTTGGGCCTGGTTTGTTTAGCAAGGACTTTAAGGCTCACTGTGAAAACAAATTACATTAAAAAAAACAACCCTGTGCTGTATTTAAAGCATCAGCATTTGCTTGTATTCAGAATAATAGTCATGATTTTAGAACTGCTTCACCTCATACGGCTCTCTAGAAGCTGTGAAATCAACAGCAACACTTCCATATCACGAGCATGGCCTTATTGCACAACTGATCCAAAGATCAGTTGAATGACTTGCTTCATTGCTCAGGAAAAAACTAGATTTGTGTTCTGAGGTTAGAGGCAATCACACGGTCAGTGACACTTTTGTTCAAGCAGGCTGTACCTATATAGGATAAGCATTTTCTGATTTTCTGTTGCACCTTGTCTGTTAAGCATTTTACAAGGAAAGTTAATTGGGCCATACCAAGTCCCTGTGCAGTAAATGTTATCCAGTCTTAAAGAGGAGTTACTGACTGTACTGCGAAGGCAGAGTGCTCTCATTTCAGGCTCTGAAATAAATTTCATATTGCGGAAGGATTGGATTTCAGTTTGAATCACAGGTAAACAAGAGTGGTCTTGGAGGCTTGACTTTACTGGGGTCTGGAAGAGAAATTGTATTTGGGAATGGCAGTGAAATTCAGTATGTGAGCAGGAAGATGGCTGAAGAGTTAATTCTGCTGCTGGACCTGCAGTCGGTCATTTTGTGTTGATGTGATCAGCACAGAGGTTCAAGAACATTATTCACTGCTCAGTTACACCACTGCTGACCTGTGATTTTGTAGAGCAATGAGTCAGAGCCTAAAAGTAGAACAGAGTCAACCTAACATGCTGTGCTTAGGAACTTCTGCTCATGTGGTTGAAGTGTATCATGAGGCTGATGTACTGTGATCGACTTTTGCAGTGACCACCGAGTAACGTCGTTTAGAGACCTTGTTCATGCACAGGAGGATGATGATGAGGAAGAAGAGGGACAGCGGTGAGTTTTCAGTTAGCCTTGAAACCTGTGTGTTTTATCCCTGCTGTTCTGTGGCAGCTTGCTGCCCGTGTACAGGAATACGTATGTTTGTAAAGCAGGTTTAAGTAGACGTGCAGTTCCTGTACTGAAGGATCTTGGGTCAACTGTAAGCAGTTAAATACTCTTTAGGTTCACAAGCAAGGTAAATTGAGTGGAACTGATGCGACTTAAGGGTGCTCAGTGCAGGTAGGCCACCTGGTCCTCTGCAGTCAGCTGTGAGCTTGCTCTGGATGCGTTACAAGCCAGCTGGAAGCTAATAACCCCAGTCTTCCACAAGTGCTTATTTGCACTTCATTGACAGTGCATTCATTGCTTCCCACTTAGTCCTGTTGCGAGTGGTGATCTTTCAGTGCAGAATTAATGTTTGCCTTCCCTCCAAGTGCCAGTTATTTCCTTAGTAAGCAGCAGCTTGTTGCTGAATCCCGGTGTAAATGTGCTGGATCCTGTCACACGTGTCCTGTAGGAGCTGTGCTCTGCTCCTGCACAGATGGGCTGTGTTTTCTTTCTAGGTTTTATGCCGGTGGCTCAGAGAGAAGTGGACAACAGATTGTTGGTCCTCCAAGGAAGAAGAGTCCCAATGAGCTGGTGGAGGATCTGTTCAAGGGAGCGAAGGAGCACGGTGCAGTGGCAGTTGATCGGACAGCCAAAAGCAGCGGCGAGAGTAGCAAGCCTAAAGTGAGGAGTGATGAGTTCTTCCTTCTTTTCTCTCTTTCTCTGTTGGAGCTATCTGTATGTGGCTCCCACTGTGACAGCTGGTTGGTCCTGTGGAGTACTAAAACTAACTTAAAGGAACATCTGTCTGGACTCCTGTGTTATTGCAGCTCTTATTTCCATGTCGTGGTGGTAAGAAAAGCTGCTTTGTGCTGTATTTATTAACTAGTCCAAGCTGGTCGCTGAGCCTGAGGGCCAGCAAATGTTGCTGATACTTTTGAAGTCCTCTGCTTTCCCTCAGAATGATGTTGGGGAAAGGGAATCATGGTGTCCTGGCTACGTGTCATCCTGTAACCTCTTTGCCTGCCTCTTCTGCAGCCTTTTGCAGGGGGAGGATATCGCCTTGGAGCTACTCCAGAGGAAGAGTCTGCCTACGTGGCAGGAGAGAGGAGACAGAACTCTGTTCAGGATGTGAGTGTCTTTCTGTTGTTTTGCAGTGGTCACCTGGGGGATTGCTCTGCTACAAGTGAAAGCTTGTGAGTCAGAGAATTGCAAAGCTTGATATAAATTCAGGAGGATGGAAATATGACAAATTCTGCTTCCTGTGGGATTTCTGGTAGGAGGAAAAAAGAAATGCACGTGCTTGGGTCTTATGCAGTAGTTTTTCCAATGTTTGTTAATTACCTGAGTGTTCTTTAGAAGTATGGGGATCTTTTCTCAGCCTCTGTAGTGTGAATATACTGATGGTAAAAAACAGAGTGCAAAGAGCACCGGGTGATAAGGCTTTAACTGTTGAAGAGATGCAGAACCAACAGCATCAGTGCTGCTTTGTGAGCAGATATCTATCGAGGCCTTGATGGGAGCTTAGTTTAGGCCCCTGTCAAACACTTGGCTTTTCAACAGCTTTTATCAGAAAAGGGTCTGTGTTGTCATCTAGGAGCTGATGATGATCATTACATAGCCAGTGCTTTTTTTTTTCCTCACCACTGACTGTATCAACCCAGTGGCACATAGCTGGGATGTTTTCTGCTGCTTGAAACTCCTCTGCCAGTCAGCAGCTTTTCATTTTGCTTCTGGTTGCCCTTACTGAGGTGTTCCAGTGAGACTGATGGTTGTCTGGGCTCTGCTGCAGGTGCACGTTGTACTCAAGCTCTGGAAGAGTGGATTCAGTCTGGACAGTGGAGAACTGAGAAGCTACCAGGATCCATCCAATGCCCAGTTCCTTGATGATATCCGCCGAGGGTATGTAGCAACAAAACTTGTTGTTTTGGTGTGTTGTTATGTAGCAAGAAGGGAGTGAAAGAGAAGCTATTTTCTGAAACACGGGTTTTTGTGGTATCCAGGGTCATGAATCTATGACACGTTTTACCTGAGGGCTAAATTCTCCATACGAAAGGTTTGGGAAGGCACACTTGAAGATTTACTTTAGGCTCATGGGCAGCTGCCTTGGTTTTTATAGGGTCTTGATGTTTCAAAGTAAACAGACAGACTTTTGTATTTAGGCTGAGGATTTCCAGTGCATCGTTTCGTTCCAGACGAAGGGCAGGGAAAAGTAACCTTGAGCTTGTGCCTGTTAGTGGGGGGGTGCACACCTGCTTTGTTACTTAAACAGGAGTGCATGAAATTCCAAAGGTTTTTTTGGCTGCCCCAGATCCTGTTTTCAGTGTTTTCCTGATCTGCTTCTTCAGGCAGATTCCTTCAGACCCTCTCTTTGCAGGGAAGTCCCCGCAGAGCTGCGCAGGTTGGCGCGAGGCGGGCAGGTGAACCTGGATATGGAGGATCACCGTGACGAGGAGTATGTGAAACCTAAAAGTGTCTTCAAAGCTTTTACTGGAGAAGGACAGAAACTGGGCAGGTGAGGAAGCAGAAGCGCCGCTTTGCTGCGCGTGTGACTAAGAGTCAATTAAGAGGGTTTGTGGGACGGGCTTATTGATTCATCTTCCTGAAGAGAAGGTACTCGGTGCCTGTCATGTGTGAGGTGTTGCTGTGGGAGAGGAAATGAGGCTCAGTGATGTGTGCTGTGGGCTCATTCTCTTACTGGCAAGAGGCAAATCTCCAGTTTGGACCCACTGTGATGTGCCACACAGAAGCAGCGTCTCCTGATTGTATCACTGCTGTTCCTGTGGGGATGTGAAGAGCGAAGGAGGGGTGCTCTGTGAGGTGATGGTGTGGGTGAAGCTACAGATGAGTGCCCACTGCCTTGCCACCTTGCTAGCTAATTCCCAAATTCCCA